ACGTTAAGTCGGTTGGCCTCCGCCTCGAGGATTCTTCCAGCTCGGAGACCATCGTTGTACTTCTCCTCGGCAAATTTGATTTTTTCTTCTTGAAGCTTGTTAATCTTAGCCAAATGAGCATCACGGTCCTTCTTCAGTAAGTCTTCAACCTCGGACCGACTCTTCCGAGTCACCTCATGAGCCTCTTGTTCTTTCCGAAGGAGGCTCTCACACCGAGATAGCTGCTCTTCTAGTATTTTGACGCGCTGCTCGGAGGTAATAACTTGACTCGTCAGCTTCAGAACATCATTGTCGAGGGAAGCCTTATCAACTTTCAAAGCCTCGATCTCTCCTTGGGCGATCGTTAGCTGCTCAGATTGCTCTTTGATTTTAACTTGCAGCTCTTTCTCCTTAGCTGCAGCAACCTCCTTCAGAGATGCAAGAGCTCCATCTCTGAGTTCAAGTGAATGTTTTTTCTCTTCAACCTGGGCCGCGTTCAAACGGAAATCATCCTCAGCCATTACCAAACTGACAAGCGCACGACCCAGGCAAGCCTTTGCATACTTGAACTTATAAACACTCGCCAAAGAGGACACGCCGATCTCGGCTCTCGGATCCCATACCATCATAGGGACCCGAGCAGCATCAATAACGTGACTCGGCAGTTCAACTGTGCTCGAAATCTCAGGAATCTCAACTGACTCGAAAGTTGAGAACCATTTCTCGACCGATTCCCGAGGCTGCTTGAAGTTTAGAAATCTCTCTTCGTCAATCGGCAAGAAAGACCGATCCACGATCGGTTCCTTCTTCTTTTTTCCACGATCACCAACATCGTGCTTTTTCTTCCTCCGTTCCTCGGTAACCGGAACATCTTCCGCACTCCTTTTCTTTGACCGAGTAACAGGCACATTACGCTCAGCGGTAACTTCGTGGCCCTCCTCAGGCTCATCAGAAGCCAAATCAATCACCGGCGGATTCTCTGCTGCGACAGCCACAACATTTGGCTCAGCTTCGGAAACAGCAGCAGTCGCAGTAGTAGTCGCAGTAGCAATGGCAGCCATGGGACCTGCTGCTGCAATGGCCAGAGGATTTGGCTGCGGAACCACAATTGCAGCTACCGACGTCGCACCATCACCGACGTCGGTTTTCGGCGGATTCATAATCGGGTTCTCCAGATAAGCTTTCACCAACTTCTTACGACCCATTCCTGTTAGACGTAATTCCTTGCTTTTCCCGACTTTAGTTCGAAGCTCCAAATTCGGACTCCTTTGTCGAAAAGCTCTAGCGTCACGAATGGTCTTAAAACTGAGAACTCCGAGAAGTGGATAATACACTGCAATTATGAAACCAAGTTATTATGACATCTAAAAGCTACCGACTTCAAGTAAGATTGAAAAATTCGATTCGAATTTACCTGGTTGAAAAGAACCGTCTAAAATTTCTGGACACAATCCAACAGCTTTCAGCCTTGAATCCTTTAGAATCAACTTGAAGCCACGTTGTGTCTTCTTGAGCTTGAACAGTTCGGAAATTCTTTCTTTTAAAGTCGCGCTGAGTTCAAGTCCTTTGCTTTTCGCTGCAAACAGTAAAGTTGTTGACCTGTTAGTACACAAATAAAAAGCAAGTCAGAATAAACTCGGTCTATTGGAAAAGAAACAATACTTACAAACTGCAGAATTAATATTAATCGGAATTGACATTCCATCAATCAAAGGCTTGTTGAAATTCGGAGTCTGCCAATCCCCACCAACCCACAGCCATTCCTCTTGGAACCCATGAAGAGAGTCCGGGATTTCAGTGATTAAATCACCAATCTTAAATCCACTTTGGGGTCTCCCTGCGCAAGCGTAGCAAATCAAAGGATCTGCTACTTGCCTATCGGCACATCTCCTGAACGAGTAAAGACTCCTTAATTCTTCAACGGTTGGCATATCCCAACCCTTTTCCTTCAATAATACCAGAAGACCAATGATTCTCTTCCATGAATTGGGCGCTACTTGACACAAACTGATTCCCCAATTCCTTAAATAATCCGTGATTAAAGCGGGAAGCGGAAACCTTAAACCTGACCTCAGTGAGTCGGCAAAAACACCAACACAGCCCGGGGGAGGACAAGTTATTCTTTCACCTGGATAAGGGGCAAACAGTTTTACCGAAGACGGAATGTAAACTTCCCCACGAAGCATGACGATGTCGGCGTCAGTAAGAATACTCGGTTCTCCTCTATATTCGTCAATTGGTTCGGGCCACCGACGAGCAGGACGTCTCCAATAATCAGGGAGTGACATAGCATCCTTCTCAACTTGTTTATCCTCCTCAATAATATCTTTGTTGAGATTCAACTGCTTTACTAAAAGGGGATCCCACCGATAATACTCAAGAGGCAGTTCCAAATCCTCATCGGTGAAGACCGGAATATCCGAAATCGTTCGGCTACTGCTATTCTCAGTTTGCGCAGACATCTTTCTCTTCGAAATCGATGAAAAATACAGAAAAAATTCGAAACAGAACAAGAAAACGAGAAAGATTAGGGCAAACTCTTACCGAAACTTTCAAAGAACTCTGGATTGATGAAAAGATCACAGAAAAAAGCGAGTGCGCAAAGAAAATACGTAAAGAAAAGATTGCTGAAAGAACGCAAGAGAAATCGAAGAAGTTAAAGGTACAGAAATTTTTTGCGCCTCAAAACCGACTTTAATTTATAGGTTTTGATTTACGACCGTTAGAAGTCTCCGGAAACGGCGCGTGTAACGGACGTGTTTTAAAGGGACACAACGTTACAATAATTATTGATATACGTGGCCATACCCTGAAACGCCATATCGTTACAATTTATATCCGTTGGCCCCATTAAATGAGGGCACGTCTTTTAAGGGCTGCCATGTCAGACCAAGTGCCATCCAAGAAATGTCGAATATAGCAAAGTGTTTCTATGTCGGTAGACGGTATATAACAAGTCGGAATATAGTAGCACAACACACGACATCAGCAACTATTTGACAAAACTTCAAATACCTGCTAATGTCGGGGGCCTCACTGTTGATATCCGAATGTTGATATCCGACTTAATTGCAAGATTAAAGATGAAGATTAATCACAGTAATGGCAAAATAGTCTCCCCAAAAGATGGAACTTATTCCAAGTCGGCATCTATTAAATCAAATTACCGACTTCTACGTAGTTGCTGACTTCTGACAAATTACCGACTTCCGAACATCCAACTTCTGAAAGACCTTCAAAAGGATCGAAACCGACTTCAGGTCAACCGACTATCACAGAGTTGAATATTCCAACAGAAAGTAATCATTAGAAGCATCTGATTGGACCAACGAAATAAAAAGGCAATCATTGATGTTTCCCGCCGCCTCAAGAGAAGCAGCTCGACATTAAATGCGTCTTTATCCATTTCAAGCAAGAAGACAAAAGCCACCGTACTATAAATAGCAGAATTTATGATAGTACGAGGATCTTTCGAACACATTGTACACGAACATAAGATGATTTCGGTTTTCAACCTAAAACCGACTTCTGTACTCTTGTGAACACAATCAATAAAATCCAATTAAACTTTTATCCTCATTTTCTTGACATCAACTGTGTTTAATTTTAAGTTGTTAATCCAAGACAGCAACAATCTTAATACATATTATATGATAAATTTTAGAATAAAATAATAGTTGAGTATTATGATACATAAAAAGTAGGTAATTTTATTTTGGTATGAAATGTTTGAATTTAAATTATATGAATTTCATTTCATTTCGTATGGATAGAAGTATATTAAAAATTTTGAAAATAAAAACAAGTCGTACGAATTTTATTTAGTATGAGTGTGCAAGTCGAATTTTAGGTTGATTTGTTATAAAATCAAGGTGATATGATTATCAAATTTTAGCATATTCTTATAATAACTTGGATAAGATATTGAAGATGATTCGGAATATTGGTATGTATTCCTCTTGAAAATTAAAAAGATCTTTGAACAAATATTTGTTAATAAAATTTAAAATATGTATTTTAATTCTAGAGAATTAGTTGATAAATTTGAACGACAAGGTAACCAATAACAAATCTAGAAAATTTTGAGATTAGTAATATATATATATATATAATATATAAGGAGATTTATTTTGTAGTCCAACTTTGGGTTCCAAATTTAATATGCAAATAAGTAATTATTCACAATTTACGGTCAATAGTAACTTGGACGTAAATAAAATAGTCAATTATTTATAGTTTAATAAATTACTCAACTGCTTATATTTTTTGATTTGGATAGTTTATACAAAAATAAATTTATTTTAATTAATGAAACAATATAAAGTTTAATATTATACTTATTAGTCACACAGATTCTTAAATATGTGATAAAATTTTACCAAAATAATTATTTTATGAAACCACGATGTATTCCAATCGAATTTCTGAATAAAAATTAAAAAATGAGTAATTATTCAAATAAGTAATTATTCAACTGCTTATATTTTTTGATTTGGATAGTTTATACAAAAATAAATTTATTTTAATTAATGAAACAATATAAAGTTTAATATTATACTTATTAGTCACACAGATTCTTAAACATGTGATAAAATTTTACCAAAATAATTATTTTATGAAACCACGATGTATTCAAATCGAATTTCTGAATAAAAATTAAAAAATGATACTTATTTTGAAATGAATATAATATAATTTATTATCAGTTATGTGCACCATATGAGTTGTGTACTAATTTTAAATATGCATGTTTTATGTAATTTTGTAATTTAAATTTCATATAACATTTTAAATAAATTAATATAGGTAAATTTTATTACATATTAATTTTATATATTTAATTTATAAATATTATTTAATGAGTATTTTTAATTAAAAATAATAATGACTATCTCTTACCCGTGCATGGGATTCGTACTAGTGTTAATGTATATAAAGTTTATATAATTTGAGGATATTTCATTTTTTTTAAATATATGGATAATTATGCTAGATATTGGGTAATCTGTAATAGGATGATGGTCACGGAATGAAATGATTTGAGCTAATGTTCATAATCAGAGAAGTGCACAGTTTCCATTTTCCTTGAGTCCCATTTTCTGGGAAACGAAACGCTCTAATCTGGGATTTACTTCTCCGACGAATGCTCTTGTCTGCACATTCTTTTTCGGGTGTGGGGTTGGGTATTGGTTGCTTTCCTTTGCGTCCCTCCCTCTCTCCCTCCTCAATATTCGCTCTCCTTCTCTCTCTTCCTTTTTTCTCTTCCCATGTATATTTATTATATATATAAATAAATGTCAGATTGGATTATATCAGATTAGATTAGATTAGATTAGACACATGTTAACTTGTTGCAAGACTCATCGCAATTTTTCTTCATTCACCATCTAAACAAAAAGACAGTGACTACAGGAAGAGAAAGAAGATGTCGGGAGTTTGGAGATGGGGAAAATTAAAAGATATGGCAACGAAGAAAGGTAATGAAGGTTGGTGGCGGATGTGGAACAATTCCCGTTCCAATTCCCATTTCGAGGTGCCAAAGCGAAGTTTAGTGGTGAATTGCTGCAGCCTTTATGTGAGGCAGCAACGGCCGATTGGGATTGGAGTGCAACAGGAGAGATACAAGTGGGACAGTGGCGCCGGTGCCGGCGAGCAGCACACTGCTCGGAGAATTAGAGCGGAGGCAAATTGCCCTCGCTGCTCTAAGCAAATGGATCTCCTTTTCACCAACCGCTCGCACCACCTTATTCCTCCCGCCCATGCTGCTGCTGATGCTCTTCCCAATACTAATACTACTGATAGTAGTATCAGCCATAGTAAGAAGACCAACAATTCCTCCACCAACACCAATACCAATGATAAGGATGTGGGCAACAGCGCTTACCAGGCTGTTAATCTTTGCCCCAGTTGTAAGACAGCTTACTACTTCAGGCCGTTCAAGATGTCTCCTCTTCAGGGGAGTTTTGTTGAGATTGGTCGAGTGAAAAACAAGAAATCTAATTCAGAGTTAACTGTTGATCCTCGAGACAACTACGGAAAGAGGCTCCGTCCATCCTTCTGGGAGACCTTGAGATCATACGGTAGTGAGAACTTGCCTCCACCTCCGGCCCCATCCTCATCAGGTAATGGGATTGCTGTGCATACTCCACCTGGTCCACCTTTTGCTCCCGGTGTTGATGTTGTTCGAGCATCACCAAACGGCAAGCGTGGTGGTGGTGCTAATAATGGTGCAGAGAAGAGCACCTGGGGTGGGTCTAATCTTGGTAAGAATTTGCCCACACCAAAGGAGATATGTAAGGGACTAGACAAATTTGTTATTGGCCAGGAACGTGCAAAAAAGGTCCCATTTTTTTTCTCTTTTTCCACCTTTTATCATGAAACTTTGAAATTGCCTTGAAATGGAATGAGAATATTAATTCCTACACTAGTTTTCTATATTTCTCAATCCCATTTTTTAACTTGTCCTAAGGAACCCTTCTGAACTGGTTTTCTGAAATTTTTAACTTGTTTGTCATTCATTTGCAGCTCGTTGTGCATACATACTTTTGATATTGTCTTGTTTCCACGATCTTGTGTTCCTTGCATAGAGTGAATGTCTTTCTCTTGGGCATCCTTATTAATGCATATACTCAATAAATACACACTCGTCTACCTTTGCATCAGCGTGATCTCATATATTGTTTGATGTTGATGTCCAGGTGCTTTCAGTGGCTGTGTACAACCACTACAAAAGGATTTACCATGCCACCTTAGACAAGGGGTTAGTGGCTTGGAGTAATTTCTTCTTTTTCACTAAAATGGACGTTAATTCTTTTTAAAGAAATTTTGTAGCTGAGTACAGACCTTTTTTTTCCTCCCCACATGGATACAAGTAGATAAACGGGAGTTAATTATAACTCCCACATGAGGAAAAAAAAAGAGCTAAAGTCCCGAGACAAGAATAATCCTATTTGCACAAACAAAAAAAGGATTTAGGGTCGATTGTTCCTTTGAAATTATGGCATGGGAGATCTAGTATCACTAGCTCGCCAACATATCAAAGGCTTCACTTGCACCATTGTGTTCCCATGAATCTGCAATGCTCAAAGATGCTTCTGTAATGATAAATTTAAAGCTCTCTGAAGGAGAAAGTAGCAACTTGCCGCACAAGATTGTGGATCATTCAAATTATAATTGCCTGTCCCTCATTTTCCCATATTATTTCCAACTGGTTATTATTTTAAATCGTAAACCATAAGGTTATGAGTTCTGTATAGAGGGGTTATGTTCCTTGAGTCTATATCTTAACCTTTCTTCCTAATTCTGGTTGAAAATTATCTCAGAAACTTACTATCTGGTACATATTTCGTGATGAACTTGCTCTGCGTCAACTTCTGCGCTGATAGTATTAGTGAACTGCCAAACATCTGACAAATTTCTATATTTTTTTCTCATTCTTCTGTCTGTTCTGTACATCTGCAAGAGTTCTGTCTTGTATGACAAATCAGATAAAAGTTATGATGTGTTGAGATAAGTGTTACTTCTTTGGGAGTAACTGGATGATAAGTTGTTTCGGACCTTTTGGTGTTGTAATTTGACACATTGAGTGATTTGAGGGGCAACAAGAGCACTAAGGGTGTCATTTCCACACCTATTTAATCCAAATTGGTAAAAGGATCATCGAAAATCTGATTCACACCCTAGTTGTGAGATTTTGCATTGCATTTCCATATTATACCAGTGGTTTTTGTTTTCTTTTCATTTAGTTTCTGTTTTGGATCCTAATACTAGGTCGGAATCTGAATCATCCAGATTAGATGATGATGATGATAATGTAGACTTGGAGAAGAGCAATGTGCTTTTAATGGGGCCAACTGGGTCAGGTATGGTTTAGCAGTTCAGCTGTTCTTTGGTTCAAATTGTTTCTTGGTTCTACACATAGATGTTATCAGTGTCTGTGCCTTCATCGCAATCCTGAGGAATTCAGTTTGTCGTTCATTTCTTTGATAAATAGGGAAAACGCTGCTTGCAAAAACGCTTGCTCGATTTGTCAATGTGCCTTTCGTCATTGCAGATGCAACAACTTTGACGCAGGTTTTGTTAATTATGCATTTTTAAGTTGGTTTTCTGTTTACATTACTGTTTCAACACTAACTTATTGGACAATACTGAGATTCCATGTGATTTGGTCTTTGCTAACAAATAATTATTTCATTTTTTCGGTTTTTCTCTGCATATTTATTTATTTATTTATTTATTTTGCAGGCTGGTTATGTTGGCGAAGATGTTGAATCAATATTGTACAAATTACTCACTGTATGCTAATCTTTTTTCCTTTAAATACTTAGCCTGCATCATATCAAGATGTTGTAATGCCGGTGCTTGTTAACATTTAATGAGTGAGACCTGTGTGCTGTCAAAGTAGATCTTTGAAGATAATTAATCCTGCTCTTCATGCTGCAGTATGCATAGAGTTACAAACTAGTATCAACTTGACCTTCTCTTCCCTGCTACACAGTGTTAAAGAAATTGTTCAGTTTTAGTAAATGTTTATGATGAATAAAAATATGTATCCGCTTTCTATTCCTCTCTGGAAGAACATGGAACTCGTTAATTTATGTTGTGAAGAATCAGTATCCATACATCAATCTCACACAGTATGTTAACCTCTGCTGACATATAGTATGAAAGGTGCAATCCCACCAAGTATGCGGCCTCAACTTGCTTATCTTGCCTGTTTGGATTTTAGAATTGCTCTCATTGATGTTAATAACACGTCCCTAGAGGAAGGATTATAAAATGGAAATAAAAAACTGAAAAGAGTTAAGGACACATCCAGCATTCAGAGGAAAAGCAGTGTTCTGTGTTTTACATTTGCATATACATGGAACTTACTTTTCATTTACAAATATGCTCAAGGTCGCCGAGTTTAATGTGCAAGCAGCACAACAAGGGATGGTGTACATAGATGAAGTTGATAAGATAACTAAGAAGGTTCTCATAATCCCTATGATGATTTCTTGACCTTTTGTCTTATAGAATGGTTATCGTCTTATAATAACTCCTTTTTTGTGGTGTTAAAGGCTGAGAGCTTAAATATCAGCAGAGATGTTTCTGGTGAGGGTGTTCAGCAGGCATTGCTGAAAATGCTTGAAGGGACTGTGAGTTACCCTAATACTGATATCAGTTTTTTTTTTAATTCTATATCTTTCATCAGCAGTTTCTCTTTCTCTCTCTCTCTCTCTGTGTGTGTGTGTGTGTGTTCCCTTAAGCAATGCAACTCTCCACACCACAAATATTGAATATGGTTATCGACTAGGCTGCTCAAATGGCTAGGTGATCCATCTTATCTGGATTTTTTTTTTGTTTAACTGATATTATAGAATTAATATTACGCCTTCAACTGAACGTGTTTCTCAATTGGGAGCTGTCCAAAGACCTGAAATTAATAATTTTCTAGTGAGGAATTTTAGTCTGGACATGGTGCCAGGGGATCAGTTAAGGGTGGGGGCACCCACCTTTGTTTAGGGTTTGGGATGTAATGGTGCTTTCTGCCTCCCAGTGCCATCTCTCTCTTAAAAACACAAGTGGCACATCTAAGTGAAGGTCCAATTTAATGAGAAGACAACATGTCGTAATAAAATGGGAGATGGTTTTCTTGCAGATTCTCTAGTTCTCTATATAGAATGAGGCTTAGTAAATACTATACATATAGATTAAAAAAATTCTATTTTTTATCGTTTGGAGTCTTGTTGCACACAAGTTAAGAAAATGCTGGAGAACAAATTATTAGTATGAATTTGTTTTCAGTGAGATTTTTTCTTTCCGGCCCTTCCTTCTATTTAGAAGTCTCTAGATCCACACCTGGACCCATAGTTACTTGCGTAAAAAACTAGTATTTCTCTCGTTCCTTTATTTATTTGTTTATTTATATATTTTTATGCCAGATAGTAAATGTTCCCGAAAAGGGGGCTAGGAAGCACCCTCGGGGCGATAATATTCAGGTACGGTGATCCTAGTTTGTTTTTGCTCATTCTTATCAATGCTCGTTCTGAATCTTCCATTTTCAAATTGTGGATTTCATGTGGAAGAATTAATCAGGAATAATTAAATTTAATAAAAAGATAATGTTAAAAACAATAAAATAATATATGACCTCTCTTTTTAACAACTTGGTTTGTTTGACATACTATTCTTCAATATAATGTGTGTAGTATTAGTATCAGACTCTCGCTGGATCAAGTTGATTGTGCTATGTGCAATGTGGTTAGATTTTTATTATTGGAAAATATGAACCATGTTTTTTACCTTTGACACTATTTTGCTCCTAATGATAAAATAAACTTATAAATGACCTTTTCTGCTTACCTTTGTGGCTTATGATTTAATATCATGTTCCTTCAAAACTTCACCAGTTGCTTTTTTTTTTACCTTTTTTTNGGGAAGTATGACCAGTTGTATTCTATTTTTGCTTCAGATAGATACCAAAAATATCCTTTTCATTTGTGGAGGAGCATTTGTCGATTTAGAGAAAACTATTTCCGAAAGGTGATTTGTCATTTATGGCTACATCCCCATCATCTAACGGTACTTTGTGAAACTTTGGAGATATTAATAGCAGACTATTTAATTCTTTCCAGACGGCAGGATTCGTCAATTGGGTTTGGAGCTCCAATACGTGCTAACATGAGATCAGGTGGAGTTACTGATGCTGCTATCACATCATCCCTTCTCAAATCTGTAAGAATGAAGAGCTTAGAATATTTAAGATATATTATTGGCTTGCCTGAAGTAGCGAAAAATTATTATATCGCGCTCCAAGTTTGTATTTCAAGTCTGTAAAGGTAAAACTTTTCAGGTTGAAAGTAGTGATCTGATAGCTTATGGCCTCATACCGGAATTTATTGGGCGTTTCCCAATTTTGGTTAGTTTGTCAGCCCTCACAGAAGACCAACTTGTTCAGGTAATGTGATATCTCGTGTTAGTAGTTGTTGTATCTTATGTATCTCTTTCATGTTACGCCTAGGCTATCTATGGTGTTGTGCCCTCTTCAATTAGTCAATGGAAAGTCATGCATATTTAGGAGAAATATCAGAAGGGACATAATTCACATTGACGCACTTTTTAGCCTGTGCATGATTCCTCTTATATTATCAAGTTTGGGAAATTCTAGCATGGATGCGCGGGGGCACACACACACACATAGACATACACGTATGCATATGTTAATTTTTCATTTTTCTTTTTGGTGGAGAATTTGTGGGGGTAGGGGTGCATGTTTTGATATGACTATATTTGTTGATGTCCTCGTTTTGTTCATAGGTCATGACAGAACCAAAAAACGCACTTGCGAAGCAGTTCAAGAAGTTATTTAAGATGAATAATGTAAGGCATTTTATCTTCGTCATGCAACTGGAACTCGTTGTCCTTGGTTGTTGAGAGTTGTTGACAATTATCCAATCAACTTGTAATCGTACATACATGAATTCTAGGTGAAGTTGCATTTTACTGAGAAGGCTCTACGGATGATTTCCAACAAAGCAATGACCAAGAACACTGGTGCAAGGGGGCTAAGAGCCATACTTGAAAGCCTTCTTACAAATGCTATGTATGAGGTAAACATTGAACCTCCAATACATTTGTCATCATACCCTGTTTTGATGCCCCAAATTTTATATGAAATTAAAAGTGGTTTTTGTCTTGTTTAGGTTCCAGATGCAAAGATGGGGAAAGATAGAGTTGATGCAGTGGTTGTAGATGAAGAGTCAGTAGGTAGTGTAGAGGTTTGTGGATGTGGTGGTAAGATACTACGTGGGGATAGTTCTCTCGAGAGATACCTTGCAGAAGCCAACTTCAAGGATCAGGTGGTATAATATATTCATATATATGTGTTGAAATAGATTGTGCTTTCAATTAGCTTTCATGCTAACACTGCAGTTGTTACACAGCAAGGACAAGGTGCAGTTGCAGCAGAGCTGCAGGAAGGGGAAATGGAGGACTCGTCAAGAGCAATGAGCATGTAGCTTTTATCATGTCTTCAGTTTCTTTACCTTGTAAAGAGGATTTTCAAGTTTTCACTGTTGTACTCTAATACTTCATTCACTCATAATTCTTAGTTATTCCCTCAACAATACAGAGAAAGATGAGTATAGTATTTAGTTTTGAAAATATAGTATTTAATGGCTAGAAGATGTTCCCATCCATTATAATTGTACACTAATAAATGTTAGCATGTAAATTTGTGTATTTTTTGCTGGAAAAACCAGGTTACCTCCCTCTCTCTCTTTCTCTCTCATTACAAAATCCCCAAGCATAATCATGAATGCACAACAATTTAATGAGCCTAACTTCTGCCATCAACTTAACCAGAATGAGGATTATAGTGCAGCGGAAGATGGCAACATTTTTAAATTATTAACTTGAGCAACCTTTATGCATCTTCTGTGAGACGATTTCCAGGTTATTCCCAAGGTACAATTGTAATCATTACTGTGCATGGAAATATATACGCAGTGTTTTTATATCCAATGTTGTACTGCACGATCAAATCTTGTCTAGAATCATGAGTAAAATGTGGCGAGCTAGAGAAATAAATAAAAAAGTCGGTATGAAATATTCACTTTGGCCAATATGAGCTGATAATTGAAAATACAATATAACATACTACAGGTAATTGGAATATGGAATGTTACGGTGATACTAATACAGGCAGCAGCAGCAACAAGGCATAATAATATATGTTTTTGCAGAGTATTCAATCAAATTTGTAATGCTTATCAACAGCTTGGGAGACATCCCAAGTGCAGCTCATCCCCTTGGGGAAGACGACCAAGTCACCCGCACCAATCTCAACTGCTTCATCTTCAGCAGATCCATCAGGATACACCTTCACCTTCCCCTCCAATATGTAGCATGTCTCTTTCGAACTGTAAGTCCACGGAAATTTGCTTGGAGGGCATCCCCACCTGTTTTCACAAATTAATCAACCCCACAAGATAAAGTGAACACACAAAACATATGATATCAGGAAGCCTATTGGCTGGCGCCTCTACCATAATACTATTCTTGTCTTGATAGCTACATTATTGATGTTCATACAAACAATGGATTTCAGTTGATGGGAGATGATTGACTTAATGTATATGTGTATATGTGTATAGTTTAACCAAGATGGGAGATGATTGACTTAATGCTTGTACGTATGGGTGACTTGATTACTAAGTTACTCGTGGAAGTGCCAGCTGAAACCCCAAGTGATTAATCGGAGAGCAGCAGCAAGTAATATGCATATGCTTTACAAATAAAAAGATAAAATACATATCATTATGAGATAAGAAGAGATAACTCAAAAATTTGACCTCCCAAAGAAAAGTCATTCCAATCATCATGCTGTTCCGCCTCTCTTATACTCCCTCCATCTCAAATTATATGTTTCTTCTTTTAGGTTTTGATACAAGAATTAAGACAAACTATTAAAAAATGATCTTTTTCTTTTTCTAGTTATTAATACAATAAATAGGACCTCACTTTCCTTTCGAAATGATCTTGAAAAATTTGAGGAGTTGAAAAGTTGCATAGAATATCGACTCATTTAAAATTTCCTTGTTCTAAGAACATTGAGATACATATAATTTGGGAAATGAAAAGAAGCCGAAAATACATATAATTTGAGATGGAGGAAGTAGTATAACATTCATTACTAGTGTTTCTAGTATGATTTATCTAACTCTCCACAATATGGATTAATAATAAAGGAAATTGTCTAATTCAACCATGGCATGGAACAGATTCAATACCCGGTGGTTTCGAATGAAGGGGGGTAAATGATATAGATAACGGCTGCAAGAATCAGCAAATCACAATCCACTCAGTTTCTAATTCTAATTTTCCCATTCCAGCATTTGTATAATAGTACGTAATAATTCATCAGGTTCCTAATTTTTGGAATGTAAAAATCATGTAGCAAGTCTAATAAGTAATAACATTGGTAATGAAGTAGAGTACATCCACCAAAGATAGAGTGAAATGAAAAACGAAACTAATTACTTGGGCCAAGAGCGAACACCGAGGTCGGAGAGTTTAGATTCGGGTGGGTTTTTGACGATCTTAATCCCCAAACGCTCTGTTTCCGTGGATGCCATTTTTATTGTTGTAATTGAGTTTAACGGGCGGCGGCGGCGGCGGCGGCGGCGGCGGCGGCTGAGGACCAAGTGACTGGTGGAGGAGACACGAAAGGGAGGGTTGGTTACAGCTTTGGGATTAGGAAAACAAGATGTTCCTCCTAATGTTGTTGTGGCCATTTTTCGTGAAACTTTACCCTTTCGCTTACTTTTTTATTTTATTATTATTATAACAAGAGGCGAGACGCTTTACCCAGTGAACACTGTAGACCACTCAATATGGCATTATCCACTGACAGAGTTCAAAATATACAGCTGAGATAGGAAAACAATGGACTAAATTTGATATTACAAATTGATTCCTCACTTGTCAATTGGTGGTTAATAAGACCATCTTTATTAACGCCACCGGGCGATGGCGTGAGAAACGACAAAAGAAAAAAAAAATTTAAATTTTCCCCCACCAGAGTCATCAACTTAGGCATGTCGACCAACCCATTTTTGAATGAACCACAAACTGCCACTTGGCAGCATGTGGTGGCTTGTATTTTTTTTTGTTATGTTTTTAAATTAATAATATTGTAAATAATTTTAAATAAAAAATAAATAAAAATTATATCAAAATTCATACTACCTCCTATTCTTTTTAAATGTCATTTTGGCTTTATCAATTATTAACCAAAATAAATGTCGTTTTGAATCTTTTGTACATATTTTTCCATTATTACCCACATTTAGTTAATAAATACACTACGTCTTTTCATATTCTCTTCATCTTTTTTTAAAACATCCATCTCTATCTTCATTAATGAGGGTTATTATTGGCAAAAAAATTATTCTTAATTAGTGTGCAACTTCGCAAAACGACACTTATTATGAATAGGAGGGAGTATTTTTTTTTCTTTATAAATAGAGTATAATATTGATACAATTTCACAACCAAATACAACCTCTCTTTTCTTCACACATTTCTTGTTCTATATTTTCTCTCTATTCTTCATTTGAGGTTATGGATCCAAACTATCCAAATTATTTTTTCAACTCCAAAACTATCCAAACTCAGACAACTTACCCAACTCCGAAAGTTATCCAAATTTTGCTCCATATCCGAATTCTCAACAATTTCCAAATTCCGAATATGAGCATAGTTCTCAATATTATCAAAATTTTCCAAATCTTAGCCAAATTCACACCTCTCAAGATGTGCCGACATCAGAAAAAATTTCCCGCAATTTGTTTGAAAATGTTCAACGTCCTAACAAAAATCTAAAGGGGACCAAAAATAATTGGTGTGTGAAAGAAGATATAACTCTTATGTCATCGTGGTGCGAAGATAACATACGTGGCAGAAATCAAAAAGGAGTCTTGCTATGGGCTCGTGTGCACAATCTATATCACGAACACCAAGCAGAAAAGCCGGATGAGTTGAACGAAAGAAATATCGAATCAATGAAAGGTCGTTGGAAACGGCTTAATGAAAATGCAAACAAGTGGGTGGCTGCTTACAAGGAAGCGTGTGTTCGGAAAATGAGTGGAATGACCGACAAGGATGTTGAGAACGAATTCCACAGATGTTGAACTCAACTACTCTACACAACGCATTTCGAGTTTATCTGCTTATATGATCAATAGGGATCAACTTCGCAACAGAGAAGCTCATCGTTCTCTTCAAAATGATTTGATTGAGCACATATGGGAAAAATTCGGAACTCGTAATTAAATATGTAATTTTCACTTCTGTTGTAATTTTATGCAACTATTTGCAACTCAGTTTATTTATTTCTAATTTTATATTTCAACTCTTATAATTTTTATTTTATTGTTAAGTTAAATATCGATTATTTAAATGAACGGTAATATTTTTGCATTATAATTATATATTTTTGTTATTTTTTAATTTAATACAAATTAATATATCTAATTTTATTTAAAAATAAAGTGAAAAGAAAAAATATTAGGTTGGGTTGGTGTCATGGATAAAAGTAGAAATAGAATTTGGTTGTGGGTTGTATAAGTGGAGGAAAGAGAAATGAGTATTTTATTAAAAGAATTGGGTTGGGTTGGGTTGGGTTGGGTTATGAATAAAGATAGTCTAATGTCCAGGAGGATATCATTACCACATTTATCATTTTATGGTGCATTTTTGTAGGGTGAGAATTGAGAAATGGAGATCATGTTGATTTGCCTCTCTTCTCTCCCTTCCTTCCCCGACGGGGCCGCCGAGCCCCTCGACGGTGGCCGGTTCCTGGCTTGCAGCGCGGCTGCGATTTGATGCCAGGCCCATCTTCTCAAGAGGTGGAGTCGGTCGGCGTTCCCGGGTGGTCTTCGGCTCCTTTGGCTGCCATTCCAGGACGAAGGCCGCCGATTTCCATAGCGGCTAGGCGGAGGAGGGCTACGGTGTTGCGGCGGGGACGGGTTGTGGTTTCGTTTTCCGTATTGGTGGACGGGGCGGAGGTTGGTGGCTGCCTCCCCTTTGTACTTCTCTCCCATGGTGTCAGGGAGGAAGGGACGGCCATCGTGCCGGGTCTGGCTGGGAACGGGGTGGTGGTGTGTGGTGTGGGGTGGGGTTGTTCGATTGATCTCCGACTAAGGGGTTGTGGTCGGCCGCCAAGGAGTGGTTGGGGTCATGGATTTTGACTCTAGTTAGGCAGGGTGTAGCAGTTTTTGGAGTTGAACTTGGGTCGTGGTCCGGTCTTTTTGGTGGTCGATCGTGGTGTGATCGTTGAGGTTCGTCTGGTGTGTTAGTTCGGTTGTGGGAATGGCTCTTTTCTTTGTTTTGTGTGTGTGTGTATGTCTGTGTTTTCTTTTTTCTTTCATTGCTGTTATTATCCCTTTTGGGATCTAGATTCTCCTGTTGAGAGTTAGGTTTATTATCGTGGGTGCGTTGTGGTGTTTAGGCTCCCTTAGGGTGTCCTCTCACTAGATTCGGCCTTTGGCTTTCTTCTAATTGTAATTATGTGTACTATTTATAAAATTCTCGTCGTTCCGTAAAAAAAAAAAAAATTGATGTCCAAACTACTGAAAATGTCTAAATATATGGGGTCAGATAGACCAATCTAGATGAGGATTTCCTTCCCTTTTGTTTCTGTTTCTTTCCATTTATTTTATTCCCAGTGTTCAGGCTTGAGTTTGACTAGTTTGGACCCCAAGCACTCGACCCCTCAGCGACTTTAGGATTAAATGGGATATGCACTAACCAAACCTCAAGTTCCTACAGTTACATTAATCCAGAGCCACAATATAGCCCTCGCCGTTAGAATTTAGTCGACATAAAATGCACAATAAAGTATCATGTGATAAAGACCGTTTCCTGCAATTAATCAACACCCATCCGCCTGTGCCTCGGGGCCCTGGGGGCTTTCTTTCCATTCTTCAACTCAATATTCCATTACTTAAGCTCAAAACATGTGTGCTGAACAAATACTATATACATTCCAGGCTCTTTTGATAAAAATCAAACGTGCCGAAAGGGATTGACAATATGTAGTACCATCAATCTATATGCATGTATGTCTGTCCTCAATATTAGATAATGAAACGAAAAAAAGGTATAAAAACTCTACATGTGTAGGAGGCAATTCAAAATCGTCTCTCAAAACAAATTTCAACGACCGTCCAAGTCAATAATTCCATGCAATCATGCCTCCATATACAGCTATCAAGTAGTTAGAGTGCTTGTTCAGTCCTCCATTCTCCATCTCTCGATCACAACCTTGAATTGATCATCTCTTCGCCTTACCTGATAACTCAAAAGTATTACAACCTTGTGTACCGTACAACTAAGTCATTCTTTACGTAGTGTGCATGTGGATTATCCCTTCTGGATTATTTCTTAAGAAAGTAAAATCATTCATCAACCTTGTGTACCGTACAACTAAATCATTCTTTGAGTAGTGTGCGTGTGGATTATCTCTTCTGGATTATTTCTTAAGAAAGTAAAATCATTCATCAATTATTAAATAGAGTTGAACGACAATATTACCTCAACCAGTGGCTTTTTCCCATGAAGCAAGTCGTCCACACTCCTCTCAGTCTGAGAATGAAATTAAAATAAAATTAAAAAAAAAAGGTATCATGCATGCACTCATCATTTTATCTCATAGCTGACATTGAGGCAACCAAAAAAAATCTCAAGCTGTACATAACCATGAAAATGAACCAACTAACTCGATGTGCAACCCAGTAGTACTTTTCCCTCATTTCAATCAGAAAAGGAAATGTAGGAGCTGCTCTTCTCTCGAGAATGCTTTTCTGGCAATTTCTGGCCCTAGCTTCTTCATCACTCAAAATAACTCTCTTTAGGCTCCCAATCTGTATGTGCGAAAACACAGAATAAGAAGCACATCAATGCCATGACAAAGGTATTCTCTTCTTTCCAACTCTATTACGCTGGTTTCAGATTTATGCACTACATTATGTATCATGTTTTGCACATTAATGGGCTCTAATTGAATCCTAAATGTATGACTACAAATTTATTTAGGAGCATGCATCTGATTTCCAACCAGACTCACACTATTCAATTCCTTGATTGAAAGTCATATCATAAAGGTAATGAATAGTAAAATCAATTTTGTAACTGTAAAGATGGGTCTTTGCATATACATTTGTCCAATGTGGAATTGGTGGGGCATCATTAAGATTGAAATAACTAGAAGATGTGTAGAGTAAAAAAAAATTAAAATTCAAAGGTTAACGAGACAGACTACATACTGGANATTGGGATCGACCAAAATGGCACTGGAAGAAAGAAAAAGAAAAGAAAAAAAAAAACTTCACAGGACACACACATTACAAACTGAGGCACCGAGTCAAAGAAAATTTGTACGAATTTAGCAGGAGAGAAAGTCAGTCTATCATCTTTAGATATGGTTACTACAACCTAGCAATTCATCAAAGTAAAGTTACTGAACTAGCCGCTATGACTATAGCATAATGGCAGAGATGACTGCATTCAAGAAAATAATATGGATGCTTAAGAGTACATATTGAGTTTCTCTCTCTCTAGGGACTAAATCATATATCACTTTGATGATCCTTTCTCTTTCTTTACAAGTTTATCCAGGCAAGTTCAACATTATTATACAATCGATCAATTTGAAAGAAGGCTTCTTGGCAGTTGAAAATCGATCGTTATATGAGAAGGTACATCCCAAAAATGATTACTAGATAAACAAAACATTCATAGTTTTTCAGTGGAATAAAATATTACAATTTTTTCGTACCTAAAAGCCAGAAACCCCAAAAGAAACTGGAAAGGATTCGTCAACATGAGAAAGTCTACCATGATGATAATCTACGGAAATTTCACATGCCCACGGTGGGCATATTAACATGTGTCCACCGTGATGAGTGTTTTTGTAAAAATAATGAACTACCTAAAATACCCTGCAATTAGTAATACACTAATATCCATCTCATCTTATATTTTTAATTAATAACTTATTTACCTAAAAACCTTCATTTGACATATTTTTAATGTCAAATTACTAATACCCTAATACTCATTTAACATTTAATTAATCAAATACAATTACACAAACAAAACATTCCACATCTCTTAAAAATCAACCACAATACTTCACATCACACCATTATTCCTCAAAAATTTGTTTTCTTCCACAAATCTATGCTTTCTTCCATATCTCCAAAAAATCAACCCAACATTAATCCAAACAACAAAGCTTTGAAATGATAGAGAATTGTTGTTTCGAAAAAAAATCCTTATATTTAATATAATTTTAATGATAAAATCGTAATCCTATTTAATGGTATCAATATATAAAATTTCTTTAAAGAAAAATAAAACAACAAAAACAACATAAACCAAATATTATTTACCTATCTTTCAACAAAACAATAAATCTTGGTAGAACATGACAACTTAGTTGATGGGTAGTGGAAGAATTCATTTAACTACTTTATTATTTAAGAAAAATAAATTCTTGTATTTAGAATTATTAATTGCACCTTAGTTGTCATTTATTTGTCTGTTGGTTTGTATTTTCAAAATTTTGTCGCAAAGGCAATAAAGTTAATGAATCATCACCTGACCATTGAGTGATTAATATCAAGTTGCCTAATATTTTAATTATTAACACTTAAAATATTTGAAGTTTTTCATTCAATTCTTAACAAAAATATATCATGCAACTTTAATTATTATTACTTCATTAGAGCAATTGATTTTCAAGAAGGGCGCTCTATAAACGATGAAAATTAAATTTTTTATATATTAAATATTTTATGTATTGATATTATTTTAAGATTCTTAAATGATTTTATAATTTTCTCAACAAAAATTGAGAATTTATTTAACCGTAAGTATCCTATCAAATAAGATACTTGTTTCAACAATATTTATTTAATTTTGTAATGATAACTATAAGTAAAAAAATTAAAATCGATATTGCATGTCCTCATAACGACCACATACTATAAAAATATTTTTTTTCTTTCAAATAAATTATAAAAAATAATAAATTGTGTAATAGTATGAGAGATTAATTGTTGAATGCTTGTTTTGCAGCCTAAACTTCTAATCTACTCAATTTCTTTGCTTAAAATAAGATTAGAACAATTTTACGAAATTGCATAATACTAAGACCCAATTTATTTATTTTTATATCGAATGAGCCGGGATACCACTTGAGCAACGTGATTTAATTTAGATCATATGATAATCTATAAATTCATTAACAATATCTAGAGAAGCATGATATGCCTACATACGTTGAAAATTAATTAATGTTTAACAATAAATTAAAGGTTTGGTATTTTTTTGCCAAATTGAAAAAAGTTGAGTTTTATTTGTAATTAGACAAAAGGTTAAGATTTTATTTGCAATTAACCCATAAAATAATGCTTATTTTTATTAATGTGTAGGAAAAAGAAACTCAATTGATAAATTAATAGGTAATCTCGACATAAAATAACAGTGATATGTAAGAAAAGTATATGGGCTAAAAAGCACCCGTGTTTACTACATTTTTAATAGAAAATTTGTAAAAACAATTAATAAATAACAAAATTACTACATAAAAATTTTAATATTTAAGAAAGAATACGGAAATTCAATATTATAATGAAAAATCCAACAGTAAAGTACTCCACTGAAAAGTTCAACGGACATTTCAATGGTATAGCTTCCATTGGAACAATTCATTAGCTATTCCAACAGAGATCAAATTAAACTACATGGAAATATTTGTGGATTTAATATTTCAATCACAATTATTTATTGTTGTGTGAATTTTCATAGGAATTCTTTTTTCTGATCATATTTCAACCATTGGATAAACTGTCATTGAAATTGTAAAAATTTCAGTGCAAGTTCCATTGAAAAACTAACTTCAGTGGCGGATCCAAAATAATTTTATGTTGGGGAAACTTTTTAATTAATAGAAAAAGTATACCATCAAAATAACATAATGTAATTACAATTTATAAATTATATTTTTCATATTTGTCATTTTTCTCATGTGTAATACTTTTTTTAACACATCAAACATATTTTAAGGTTAGATAAAATTATGTCGCAATACTAAAAAGAACAAAGAGAATTAGAGAGTAAAATTGTAAATTTTGATATCTATCATATTTCATTTAGTTGTGATATCGCGTTTATGTTATAACTTTGATAAATTATGAGCTGAATTAAGTTATAATTCGTTGTGTTGTAAATTAATTCATTATGTATCTTTCTTTCTTTTAATTTTATTTTCTAAATAGGGGGCATGAATAAAACTGTGAAAAATATTCTTATGCTATATGTTTTGGGATGAGGATGTGTCGGGACTATTGGATAAATATGGATTTGCCCATGATTCCAACAAAATATTTTTGTTAGAATTTTTATTGAAAAATTCAAACGAGAGTAGTAACATTGAAATATTCATTAGAAATGTCGTTGAAATTCCGTTGTAACACGTTTTCCTTGAAATTTCATCATGTTCAATAAAAGTATGGCTCCGAATCAAATAAAAAAATTTGCATTATACATAATATTGTGTGCAATTAATTATTTTATAAATTATTGATAATGATACAATATATAACACATTCAACGTAATTATCATATATAATTTATGATAATTAGTATTTTTTTTTTTTAAAGATATATCTAGGTTGAAAATTCTTTAATTATTTTATTAATATTATAGTAAATAAACAAGGGGAAAGAATGATGTTCTACATAATAAAAAGGTAAGACTACACAATGATAAAGCTTATAGCTCAAATTCCATCCAAAAGTTTAAAAAAAATGATAAAACTAATAAGTGTCCTATATCAATTGGAGTTGGTGAATGATAAATGTAAAATATACTTAAGATGCACATCTATAAAAAAAATATATTTATTTTTTTGTATCAGAAATCGGTATGTCAGTTTTAAATTTTTTAGTTAAAATTTATATAATGTTTACTATTAATTTTTTCAATTTTGAAATGCTTAATATTTTTTTTATTTGTTACCTTTTTATATGTAACATATCACATCATTTCTTTTCAATGATGTTTGATTTTACGAATGTACTGTAAATAGAATAATAATAATTTAATTATCTACCAATATAATATATATATATATCAGTACCAATTTAAAATAATAAATGAACCTAAAAGTACCTTATAAAATAAATTATAGATCCATGTTAACTCAATTTTATTAATTAATAAATAACATTAAGATAAACTTGTGGTATATTTTTCTTACATAGATTTGAAATATTCATACTAAGAAAAAAGTGTAAATAGATGTAAACGTACAACGATTACCAACATTAACTATGTGAATTAAAAGAAAAAATAAATGAGTTGTATGTTAAACCTTAGCGGTTGTAAAATATATTTTTTGTGAATATGACAATGAGTTTACTTAATATTTTATCAAACAATGGAAAAAAAATCCAAACTTTTTAATCTTATAAACAATATAAAAGTACATTTTTATGAAATTATATTATTAAAACCATACCTCTCTTCTGCGAGAAAAATCCTCTCTTTAGCGACAAAACCCAAACCCTAATCCTCGCCGTCTCTCGTCAGATTTGAAGTCGTTCGCCTTCCTCAGCGGACATCGCACTCAGCTGGCGGTCGCTGGCCCCTAGCGGTTTGGATCCCTCCCCTTTTTTCTGCTCCACCTTCCGATTTCAATGGACGGGACCTCGTCTGTCGCGGATGTTGTTCGTCCTTCCGGCGCCGGTTCGTGAATTTAGGTAGGGGTCGTCTCTGTTGTGCGGTGGTGGAGCTGTGGTGCGGTTCCTGGGGCGGGACACGGCTCGATTGCTCGGTGACTTGTTTGCTGGGCGATCGAGGCGACGACGGTGCTCAAGGCCATCCCCATGTACTCGGTTCTCGGGTCGAAGGGGGCCGTCGCGTCAATTCTTCCTCCAGTGGTGTTGGTCGGGGTGTTGCTGCGGTGGTGTGGTGGTTTTTGGGTAGCTTCCAGGCGATTTGGGGTCGGGGCTTGGGTCGTGGCATTCTTTTGTCTGTTCAGGGCAATTGGGTGTTGTGGCCGTGCGGGTTGGCCTGCTACGGTTCTGGGGTGGGGGTTTCGACTCCGTTAGGCAACCGAGTGGTTTTGGCAGTTTCGGGGTCGGTGCTTCTGGCTACGGGATTCGTGGTCGACTTGTTTCCGCTGTTTGGTTAGGTGTTGCTGCTTAGAAAGGGCTCGTTTAGTTTGTGTCGTTTTTGTTTTGTTGGTAGTTTAGTAGTTTTGTGTGTTGTTTCTATTGTGTTTTTGGTCTGGGCCGTTGGCCTCTGTTAGCTCAAGTGTAACCTTATTATCCTGTTGGGATCGCACACTCGGGCATTACCCTGTTGGGGTCTTTGTGTGTTGTTTTTAGTAGTGTTTTTGTGTTTTTTGTGTATTACCCCATTGGGGTCGGTTCTAAACGGTCTTCGGACCTGTCCTCTCACTTTTTCAGCTGTTAGCTGTTTGTATTCAGCCAGTGGTTGCCCTTTTGCACACTTGTGCTCGTTATATAAGATTTATATCGTTTCGATAAAAAAAATAATCAAATATATTATTACACGTACAAAAAAAAAAGCAATGCATATAAATGTGCTATAATTCTTTCAACAAATAAAATTTTATTTGTGAATAAAATAAAAAACAAATAAAGCAATTGTAATGCAATAGGAAAAGAAAAAGTGAATTTTTTTTATAAGAGTATGAATACCAATATCAAGAAACAAAAATCTTTTAAAATTACTACTTTTTTGCTGCTAACATTTAAATATATGTTATCTATAAGAAATTGGTTCTCATAAATAATAATTCCATATTATCATAATATAGAAGATAAACTTCAATAATGACTTCATAATAATAAAGTTCACAGTGACTAAGAGTATTATAGTACTATAGAATTCAAATTCTTCTCATCTGAAATATTTTGACAAATTATCAGTTTTGTTTTGTTATTATTGAAGAATCAAGAAATGATATTTATCTTGGTTTTTCGAAGCATTATGTATGGTGCAAAAAGTTGGACAATAAATGCATTAAATAAGTTAGACATATAAATATTGCAAATCCGAACGAATGAAAAAGATATTATGATAAACAACTCTAAAATCATTGCAACAACAAGCTGTTCAATGATTTGCATATAATAGGTTATGTAGTTCGTCTATCTTCCAAATAAATAACACTGAAAAGGAAATGTCTGATTCTGATAAAAACATTCTTGAATGTTTGAATAAGTTGTCAATTTTTTATAGGAATATTTACAATCTTAATTGTGTATTGTGCTCGATCATAAGCACAATTACTTTAAAGTATATACTTTCTATATGTGTGATGATTTCAAAAATTAATTTAGCGTCTCCAGAAAAGTACATGATTTTGAAAAGTCCACTTTTGTTTAAAGATCAAATTCGTCCCCACCTCATGGGGTAGGTACCAATTTGTCTCCATATGGAGAGAGAGAGAGAGAGAGAGAGAGAGAAAGTAATGTAGGAGTTTATACAATGACTAAAAAAAATCAAGAATTTTAAAGACACAGTTGATTATTTCACAGAGATATTTATGAACAATTTTATTTATGAACAATTAGTAAAAATACCTTATAATAATCATACAATCATGAAGTTTGACTATATGTTTCGCTAAAATATTTCAAAGCGTTGAATAAAATGAACGTTTTGCTAAATTAATTAAGAAAAATTTTGCAATGCTATTGATATGTTGAGTTCCAACGAGAGTATGAATGTTTCTTATGAGAATGTCAAAACTAAAATGAAATAAAATCACTCTTGAATCTAACATAAATAAATAAAAGAACTCATGCAGCTATAATATACATTAGATCCTTCCTTAGTTATTTAGTGTTTTTTTTATTAGGGACTCATTTTTCATATTTTTTTGTTGGGATTGTAATATGTTTTTTAAATCTTTTTTATGTTACGACATCATTATGTTATTTTAAAATAAAAAAAATACATTAGGAGTTTATTTGTTCTACATTTTATTTTGATCCTGCAATGCAATCATATGTTTAATAATTTATCTTACGTACTAAACTTAATCGGAAAAAATCATTCGCCACCACGTGCATCGCACGTGTACTTTACTAGTATTACAAAATATGGTTGGCTAAAAAACGAGGAAAGAAGGAAATGTTTATTATCAGTTTAAGTTGTCAGTTTAATGTAATATAGTGAGGTAAAAGAATTCAACATAGCATATTTTCGAGTGTGTTCATAAATACACTAACCAAGTGGGAAAGAATGGGATTTTTAAGAATATTCTCCAGCGTCTTGGCATGAGCACTACCAATAAGCATGACCCCTCTCTGCGCAATAGTACGACAAGCGTGAACTTCAGCTTCTGTGCCAATCTCATCTACAATGATCACCTCAGGCATGTGATTTTCTACTGCCTCAATCATGACTTCGTGTTGCATGCATGGATCTGGAACCTGTAACCTCCGTGCTTTTCCTATTGATGGATGTGGAATATCTCCATCTCCACCAATTTCGTTGCTTGTATCAACAATAATCTAATTGATTTGACATACCAAGATCAGTGTAAGATGACACAAGAAATTATATGTGAGTAATAGGAAACTCTGTGAAGACACTAAAGCACAAACCACTCTCTTATGAAGCTCATCTGACAACACACGGGATATCCCACGCATAACTGTAGTTTTCCCAACACCAGGCCTGTTGAAGTGAGGGAAGATTAATCACGGAAGAAATTGTGGGCTAGAGCTTTATTGTTATTTAAATCAGAAAAAAAAGCATATATTAGCTTTGGCACCACAGACAATTTAATGTAAATTTGAAGTTCATAATACATGAGTTTTGGTTCTTCAATAGCCAAGGTACAACAGGTAGATGTGAACATATATTATCTAGGAGGTATATGATAACACTGATATGAGTGAAAAGGCAAACATTTCCGTAAACCAGTTTTCAAAGAATTTTTAACATAGTTTCCTATCCAACAGACATGATCTAATAATTTATGTAAGAAGAAGTATTGTTTAATGAGATAAAGAGCATAGAATGTTAGATATTAAATATGATAGGTCAACAAAACACATTTAGGGATTATATGCTAGCTTGCCTTCCAACAAACAAGATGCTTTTACCATACTCGAGCAAATCCCCAATCATGTCAAATTCCTCTCTAATTGGCCTTCCCACTCGGCAAGTCAAACCAATAACTTTTCTGTTTTTATTCCTAATAATGGATATCCGATGCAAAGTGCCTGCAATACCGGCTCTAGTGTCACCTCCCAGTTGTCCAAGTGCACCTTCAGCGTATTCTAGCTCTTCTATTGATACCTGACAAAAGCATTATAACAATAAAAGAACAGAAAAACGGAACCAATTTGACTAGAGGTTAGGTCCAGATCCATTTTTGCCAGACAAATAAAAAATAGAGTCACATGAGGTGAGTTTTAACTGGAAGTATATTCCCGTTATATATGTCAGAAGACCTCACCTCTGTCTCTCTGAGGTACCGCCTGCCAGAATCACCAAAATAACATGCTTGTGGCAGCCGACCCAAATCCATTATCACCTATCACCACACAAGGCAGCATAAGATACTCTGATTCTAATGAGTTGGCCTTATGTACTTGCAGACATTTATGGATACTCTGATTCAGTTGAGTTATATTAAGCTGGGAAAGGTCAATGATATATGACTGACCTCTACAAGTTGATCTCTTTTTGAGTCACCCAAAATGTTGTCCCGCACATCATGTGGCAGAATCTGGCAATGGGGCAAATGGGTATGGTATAAGCATTAAAAAAATTGAAAAACAGACATCGAGAACCTTCACAAAAAGAGGAGCGGCATAATGACAATATATGTTAATACCTGCAAAAGTGAATGGACATCGTCATCCGCATACTGACAACCAGTTGTAGGAGTGAGGATATTGCCACCGGAGAAAGCATGACGATACAATTGACACGGTGGTGGACGACTATAAGAAATGTTGCTGGTCTTCAGCGCAGTTGGGAAAGCGGGAGCTGCATAGAATAATAAACTTATGCAACCAGCAGCAGCCATGCCAATTCCTATATTTCGTAGGGATATCAACGGCCGGCCGGTGGCTCGTCAAGGGCACGGGAAAAATGAATTATGAAGTTGAAGGCATAAATAATTCCAAGTTTTGGCCCATAATTTTTCATAAATTGCAAAAGTAGGGCTAACTTATTCCACCAATATATCATTTTGACCACGGAGCACTGTGCAGTGTGCACATTTGACATTTCCTAAAGATTTAGCCATATCAGTGAAATGCGACGAAACACGTGCCATTTGTAGAAATCTGCTCCTTCGATTGCATTGGGGAAGAAAAGATAGAGATGAGCACGAGCGGCAGAGACGAAGAAGAGAAGGGCCTGCTATGGAAGCTACCGGCAGTTAAGTCTAGGCAGTTGGGAAAGATGGGGCCTGCTTTTGGTGTGGGCGCGGGCTGCGGCTTCGGTTTCGCCGTAGGACTCATTGGAGGTGTAAATCCAAATTCTCACTACTTTTAATTTCCTATACTGCTTTGCTCATGGCGACTGCTTTATTTTCTTTCTTCCTGGTTAAAGGTACTGGCTTTGGTCCTGGAGTGCCGGGTTTGCAGTTCGGCTTTGGATTTGGAGTTGGTTGTGGGGTTGGTTTGGGTTTTGGGTACGGTGTGGGGAGAGGGATTGCATATGATGGCAGTTACAAATATTCTAACGTTGGCAAATTCTTAAACAAGCGTGGGGATGTTCCGCTGCAGTAAGTCTAATTGTTCTTTGTTACTTCTCACTGCTATTCATTCTGTTCATGTAACTCCACCAAGCCTCTAAATTCTAGGGCATGGCAGTTCTTGAATTTTGGGGTACCTTTGGAAACTGGTGTCTAATGTGCTGTTATCTTAAGTTATTAATTATTCATATAAAGAAAATCATGCATGTCACTGCCCGCTGGGAATAGATCTGTGCATGTATAGTAAGAAAATGAGATGGATGTCTTTGATGGTGGAGTCTGCTAGTCTTTCTTTGTGGACTTCGGTATTGGAAGGCTACATCTGATTTTGAGAAAGATACGTTAATGGAACAGAGACAATGAATTTAGATAAGATTATCTGTTGCCTTTGGTACTGGAAGTCTACATTCTTGTGCTGGGTGCTCCATTATGTGTCTGGTTTGAGTTGGATTTTCCGACATGATTTGGGAAATCAAAGGTCTGGTAAAGCCATATTCTGTCCCCACATATACAATCCCTGCCCGACTATGCATACATTTATGGTCAAACTATCTGTGTATTGTAGAATGGACCTGAAAAGTGTAAAGCATGAATCAATTTCTGAAAGAATTTCGAAATACCTCATTATGTTTCCAAAAGTTATTAGAGTAAATACCACATGAGAGAATTTTCTTTATCTTACTGATGCCCGCTGGCATGCTGAAACTGTTCCCAGTCCTTCAGCTTTTCAACTATCTAGACTCCTTAAATGGTTTGAGAGCCACTTAAGGTCTTGGTCTTGTCAACTAGGTGTTAATCATCATGTTGTGTGTTATAAAATCACCGAAAGGAGGCCACCCTTGTTCATCAAGGATGTTTGAAAAACTGAATTGGTTAAAACCTTTAGAGAATGATTGGAGAAAACATTTTCATTCGAACAGAGATATTTGTTTCTCGAAAATTGTTTCTCGGAAATTGTGATTGGTTAAAACCTTTGTTCGGACATGTTCAACGGAGGCCTCCTGATGTACTAGTGCGTAGGGGAGTTCTACAGCGGGTCGATGATGTAAAGAGAGGTAGAGGTCGGCCTAAACTCACTTGGGAAGAGTCGGTTAAGAGAGACTTTAAAGATTGGAATATCTTCAAGGATTTAGCGGTGGATAGGAGCGCTTGGAGGCTAGCAATCAACGTGCCAGAACCGTAACTTTTGCTCCTTTCTCTTTTGCTCCAATCTCTTCCTTTTGTTTTGAGCCCTTTTTGTGTTTCTCTTACCATTAGTTCTCTTGGGTTTCATCTCTAACCTACCCCAACTTGCTTGGGACTAAAAGACTATGTTGTTGTTGTTGTTGTTTAGAATGCAGTGTTCACCCATCTTGTCTTTTCTCTTCTTAACTTTATAAACACAATTTTTTTAGAATAAAAATCAATCATTGTTAGAAGAGAAATGCTACATTACCAACCTAGAGTACAACTAGGTTGGCCGCACAAGTAAAAATATCCATAAAAATAAAAATAAAAAATACACAAGTGGATGTTTCCCACTTGTGTTGTCAACCTAGTTGTACACTAGGTTGGCTATATATCATTCTTATTGTTAGAAAATAATCTCTGTAATATTCATTATTTATCCACTTGCATATCTCTACTTGTTTCCATAGACCAAATAGTTAGATCGCCTAATGCGAACTATGCCATTTCACAAACGTTATTGGATTCGTGCCAAGTTAATTTGATGCTGGCATGCTGCTTGTGTAATCTCAGACTGGCTTTGTAGCACATTTTTATAAACATGCTAGTGGCATGTGACGAATAATACAGCTGCTGACTCCTCTTCTTCAACTGGTTCTAGCCTGCCCAACATTTCAGATCATGTACTGTTGCATTGTACAACCATGATCAAGAAAGTTCAAATAATTTTTATTTATTTTGTGATAATCGACATACATGTTTGAATCTCGAAATATCTATTCTTTAATTCTTAAGTGTATACTAGCTTTTGATGTTCTCATATGTTGACCTAGAACTCTCTATCTGAGGAGCCTCACTGTAAGTAATAGTGAATATTGATGTTATATTTCATATAATCTTTGTATCTAGGTTATACAGTGCAATGGTTTAACGGACATTTATGTACTTAATGTTTACTTTTGTTGTTGGTGTATGTTGGAATTAAGTAGGATTATGCTTTCTGGTCTAGAAACATTTCAGATTTTCAGTTAAGACCTGACTAGTCTTAGAGGAAACTGAACTAGGATATGCGGAATATGCCAACATATGCAGAAGAAATAAAACTGAGTGCACGGCTGATGTAATTGATATGTTAATGTAGTTCTGATGTTTCGGTCTATGCAGTCGAAATTTTGGCCTCGAGTTCTTTTTTTTGTTTTCCTGGAACACAGTTTGAATAGTGTGTTGTGTTGATGGCAGGAATGAAATTGGTGATCTTGTTGATGAGCTTGTTGTGAATACGAAAAAGCTAATACAAGCAACTTCACGGGAGGTGGACAAGTGGAGGAGGTATTGAGGGCAGCAAGTGGTGGCTATGGGATTGATTGACAATCGGTTGTGAACTTTACGTTGCTTGGTTCGTGTGGTTGTGGTCACTGCACATGATGTATATGTAGAGCGGAGCTGCATAAAATTGCACATGATGTATGGCAACTTTACCATGGTTGCTTGTTTATTTCTACTAGTACGTAGACCGTGCGATGCACGGGATAGAAGTATTAAATGGGTCATTTTCACATAGCTTGTTCGTCAAGTAGCTCGTGCGATTCACGTGAAATATTAAATGAGTGGACCATAAGGGTTGTCCGTTCAAGCCTAAAAAATAATAGAGTTTGATCATCTATCTTTTTACATCTTTTCATCAACGTCATTTTTTTGTCGAAACATTAAACTCGAGTCTGGTAGCGCTAGCCCGTAAATTAATTAATATATTATCTCGCTCACATGTTTATAATTATAATAATATAAATTTGATTTCATTATATATATTTATTCTTTGATATAAGAAAAATAATAATTTTACGTAATTTTGTTCCTCGCATAATACTCATATTATTTTATTATAAAATTTATTGTACTATAATGTCATTATTATTATTTATAAAAGTTATAGATGTAGTCTTCTTCTTTTTATTCTATGTAATAAATGTATGTTCATATTATTAATTAATGTAATTAATTTAAATTATGTAAATAAATTTGAAGTAAGACATTTTGTATCAAACATTTTACAGAATATACACAAATATTTTTTTAGAATTTATTTTTTTTTATAATAAATAAACATCTTTGAAATTCTATGCAATTATTCAACATCCTTGATATAAATTAGAAATCATATTGAATTTTATGTAATTATTAATTCTATCCGATGTTATTGAAACAATTCATTCGGAAATGTAACAAAATAATAACGAATTTTAAATTTTAAATTTTAAATGAGACATGTTTGTACTTGAATTCTATACAATTATTATTTTTTCCGATTTTATGGAAAACAATTTATTCAGGATTTTAATGTAACAAAAAGATAAGAAATTTTAATGTTTATATTTAAATTTGAAATGAGACATATTTTTACTTGAAGTCTATCTGTCCGATTTTATTGCAAAACACATCAATTAAGGATGAATTAATGCAAACCGGTTTTTTTGCAATAAAATAATAATACAATTGAAATACTTGATGAAAATAGAATGCAATAATTACCTTTGACTTTATCAACTGAAACGTAGTATTGTAATTACCTTGAAGTTAAATACTTTTTTGCTTATTTCGTATTGTAATTACCTTGAAGTTAAATACTTTTTTGCTTATTTTATTCGACCACCTTTTTCAACCCACTGAAGATTTTGTTATATCTAGCATTCAGTGATTAACTGATTAACTCGAGTAAAATTCTGTTTGAAAATAAGAAAAAAGAAAAATACAATAAAGAGGTAAATAAGTTGTGAAGAAATAAACTAGTGAGTGAAATGAAAGAAAGTGAAAGAAGTGAATTGTATCTTAGATTTGACTATTATGGTGTTTGGTAGATACTGATAAAGAAATAACCAAACAAGTATTTTTGATAAATTTGATCATAATTAAAGATGAACTAGTACAACACCCCCGTCTATTACACGGCCCACGGGTGCTTGTTAAAAAATTATTCTTAAATTTTAAAATTAATGAGAAAAATTATTTTAAATTCTATTTACTTTTTTAGAAAAAATATATACTATTATATATTTTAGAATGACACTTGTTACTTGTGGGACTTACATGTGTTATCTTACAGTATTTTTTATCTTATGTCATATAACCACTTGAAATATAAATATATTAATTGATAAATAATTTTATGTTTCTAATTAATATTAAAAAATAATTTTATTATTGTTATAAAGATAAATATAATTTATTTTGTTCATACAATATGGATGTTAAATCGAAACTCATCAAGAGATGATTAATTGTTATATTATATATGTAAAACTGATAAAAAATACAACAATTATTAACTTTTAAAATACCTTTACAATTCAATGATTATAATAAGAAGTGATATTAAAGTGCAATTAATACATGTAACATGACCATAAATAATCAACATATTTATAGATAATTCGGACCTAATTATTTTTAGATTGAAAGTAAATTAAAATCTACTCAAACCTAATAACGAAGCATGTAATTTTGCCATATAAGATCCCGAAGCATGCGAGTCTGCCACTTATGCTCAGCACGTTTTGAATTAATATATAAAAGGGAAGGGGATAGAGGAATAATATAGTTATAATTTATTTTAATTTTATATGAATCATTATATAGATTGAACATAGTTTAATAAATAATGTATTTTTTTTATATTTAAGGGATCGTTCTTAGTTTTATTATTATTATTATTATTATCATCCCACAACAACTTTCATTTAACACTACCCCCGACCATCACGCATGACCTTCACCATCATCGCCCTCTCGTCTTGCCCCATGGCCATGAACATAGCAAGCTCTCTCGCATTGTTGCACAGACGCAGGCATATAATCATTCGCTCCTCACCCGATAAAAAGTGGAAAGTACGAAGCGCATTGTTAACTTCTGTCATCTGAGCCTGGGCCACCGCCGCCTGTGTCGCCTGCTCGTTCGCCATTCTGGTGGCGATTTCAGCCAACCGCCCATCCGTGTTCTGCGAGAACGTTTCCATCACATCAATGAAACGTTCTTCAAGCAAGTTAGTTGACCTTCTTTTCGTGCCTCTCATCCTCCCCCCTCTCGTAGAGGTACTCTCAGACGGCGTACCCGACGACTGCCCGACATCAACGCCCGGGCTACCATCACATGGTGTGTGCTGCGTGGTCTGCGATGGGATGTCATTGTGTTCTTGGTTCAGCGGGTCCTGCTGGACATCCTCAGCCGCGTCTGCGAAAGCCTGGGCATCACCACCGGAGGCTCTGTCTTTCCCGAAGATCACCTCCCAATCATCATAGTGGGGGAAAGACTTATGCCTCAATCCCTTCGCATTAGGATCAACCTATTTTTGGCCGCAACAGATGTAATGAGGATATGTAAATTATGTGAAATTTGTAGAGGAATGAATGTTGGAATTTTAACTACAAACAAACCTTAAGCCAAGCAGCCCACTTCTCGTCATCACATGAGAAGCTTTTGGAAATATCATTCCAACCCATTCCCGAATTGTTAGCTTTTATATTGGCTAGACACGCGTAAGTTTTCTTCCAGACATGCATTTTCGAGCTTATGTGCGGGTCAGCACGAAGATCACATCCGGGAAGAAAGGTACTCATCTTCTTTTCCAAAGCAACTGTGTATCCCGTTCTGAAGCCATTTTCCGTTTTCCAACCCTCAACCACAATCTCCTTAAGAGCATTAATTAAGGCTCGCTCTTCTGCCGATGTCCAAACACGGCGTTTGGAGGTGGATGCAACCTCTTTCCCGGTATCCGATGTAAATGATGCTTCCATTTCTTCCTGAAGCGACAATAATGTTGTATCAATTTTTTTTATGTTATTTATTTTGGGTAAGACACAATTTACAAAAAAGAGGCGCATGAACAATGTCGTAAAACAAAATGATATATTACTTAAGAAGCAATATGTAGGAAATCCACAAACACAAAAATATTTAATCCCGATAATCAACATAACAACACATTAAACAACCCAATTATTGTACAAATAGAAAAAAAAAATCCATAATAACATTTGTCACCAGTTTGAGAATATTCCTATGAAAGTTCACATTGTGGAAAGAAATTTTATGTTTGTTTATAAATTAAGGAACCCCGCCCCGCCATTCTGCGAACATTTGTTGGGCTAAGAGGTCGCGCTTCTGGGTCCATTCCTGGCTGCATTCAACTTGATCTATGTACTCGTCGTCACACGGTGGGTTGGAAGGTGTCGGGAATTGTGGAATCTCATTCTCTATGGGGTCTTCGGGCATTGTTGTACGTATGAAATTGTGTATAAGCGCGCACGCCATGATAATGCGATTTTGGGTCCGAATGGGGTAAAAACAATTACTCCTAAGAATTGCCCAACGCATTTTTAGAATGCCAAAAGCACGTTCAATCGCGTTTCTAGCTGTGGCGTGTCGAAGATTGTAGAGTTCTTTAAAGTTTTGTGGAGTGCGGGACCCTGTACCCCATTCATCTAAGTGGTATCTCACACCCCTATACGGCGCTAGAAAGCCAGGACCATTAGTGTATCCACCGTCCACCAAATAATAGTTTCCTGCATTATAAACGATTGTGTTATGATTGATTTAGTGTATTTCAGGTGGGTACTCGGCTACATTTGTATTGTTTGTAAATAAGGGGAATACCGTTTGGGACTCGGAGACAATTTGCCCTAGTGATTGCATCTCTCAATACTCGATTATCTGCAGCAGACCCCTCCCAACCACAAAGCATGTAGACGAAGTTCATATTTCTATCACACACCCCAAGTACATTAACTGCTACTTGACCCTTTCGATTCCTATATCTTCCCTTATCTTTTGACGGGACTCGAACATTAATGTATGTGCCATCTAGTGCTCCTAGACATCCCTAACGAATAATAAAAAATAATATTAGTTTGGAAGTAGTAGATTAGAAAAATTTGACTAAGCGTTGTTAAGGATATTGTATTGTGGACTACCTTGAACCATTTCCACCTTTCATCTGAACAACCGTCTTCAACTGGCTTAGGTGTGGCGGCTAGGACGGTGTGAAGGCGTATTACCGCATCAAGTACACGGTTAAAGTATTTGCTTACAGTTCTACCTGATCTCGTAAAATCAAACTTCAAAGTGACGTTTTTCTTGTGATGTGCGAGGATTGAAAGAAACATAGCAACTTGTTCACTCGGTGCAATGTTTCTAGATTGAACAAGACCCCCTACATTTTCAAGGAGTAAACAAAGGCCACCAAAACAGTTTCTGTCCATACGAAGGTTCTCAAGGCAAGTGGTGTCGCTAACGTCGACTAGCCGTTGCATGTGACTCACTTGAAGGGGCACTCTATCCCTCAATCGATATGTGAGTCCGCTACTGAACGAACGTCGACGGCGGCGAGGGAGTATGAATTTGTGGTAGTAGTAATTAGCTACTATGAAAAAAAATCGGGCACCAAGAACAATCTCTTCCAGAAGAGTGAGAATTAGTAATTTGTCTCGCACGTTATCCATCTACAAATTGAAAAACATGCGGACTTCACCCATTCAATGACCTTAATGTTGGTGAACGTACTAAACAACGAGAAGCCGATAAATTGTATCTAAGTGAAGTAATTAAACAAAATGGACAGTTTCAAAATCATTCTACTACGAAAAATGGACAGTTTCAAAATCATTCAGAAACGTGTTGTTCATTAGCTAGACGATAACGTTACATTCATAATCACTGTATCATTCGCGAGAGTATGTTCCCACCATTTACTAGATGCATTAGAATACTATGTCAATTTCTTGATTCAAAATGTAGGAAATCTTATATTTCCATTGATAAATTCACAATAACATAGAAAAAAAATATAGCCTAATATATATGTCGACAAATAAATAATAACTTGTTGGTAATACAAAATGTAGCATAACTTATAGACAAATAAATAATAATATAGAAAGAAAAAAAAAAGAAAAAGACAAAAACAACAGAAACTATAAAATGGTGGCATAAAGACAGTATAAACACCAAAAATGACAAGGATGAAAGCAGGTTAAAAGAAGCTCAAGAGAACATTCAAGGTACATATCTGTTTTTCTTTCCATATATATGTCTTTTTGTGAATTTTGATTTTGTTTTTATTTATGTATCTATTTTGTCTGAGTGACTTCTATAATATGCATACTCTGTTTTGAGTTCANGCTATATATTGAAATAATTTACAAATGGTGGTGCTCTATCTTTCTCTACTGGCATTGAGTCATAAAGATATATATGTTCACTTGGACCATAAAATATAAGTTGAACATTGTACTTACTTCGACAGAATAATGTAATATTGGATGATATTCTCCTTTACAATGATCACATTGGCTTTGCAATTGCCGATGATGTTATTGGTATACGCGGTGGATATTAGAATGAAAAACATCTCTTTCATATTCTAATTTTTTCAGTTACTTTGTGAATTTCAGTATATAGGATAAAATTTGAGCTTTAATAAATGGTTGGTTGAAAGAATTCAAAAGATTTAAAGTCATGTTTTATGTTGTATCATATGCAAATAATAATAATAATAATAATAATAATAGATGTGATTGTAGGCTCATCAAATAAAGTATTACTTCTTCAATTTTCTGCTCCAGTTTGTATTACCTTTAATTAATGATTATACAATGTGGTTAGGTTGGAATAAATTGTAGCATATTCACACTTTTCCTTCTCCCTCCTTACTTTGAACCTCCAGAGTGAAAAAGACAGAAAAAGAAAGCATTTTAACTGAATATTCAAGGTAAATATTGGATTTTTAGTTGAATGGTTAAGTTAATTTTTCCATTTCATATTGCTGTTTTCTTCTTTTTCCTCTCTGCGGTAAGTGACAAGAAATGGCTGTGGTTCCTCAAGAAGCAATTGATCAGTTTGAAGCTTTAATGGAAGAGGGTAGGGCCAATTCAGTTGAATTCTTTCTGGTTATATTTATTTCATCATCACATTTTCATAAATGTTTTAAAGGCCCCATTTATATTTTATTATTTGTTTTCTCATTAATTTTTTTTTGGAATTATCTGCAGTTGATGAACCCCTTATTTATGTTAGTTTGTGAATTTTGATTTTGTTTTTATTTATGTATTTATTTTGTCTGAGTGACTTCTGTAATATGCATACTCTGTTTTGAGTTCATCTGCTTGAATTAATATAAACTTAAATGTGTTGGCTATGTGAGCTTTCACCTCAAAATGTTACTGATATATGTTCATATATATTTTAATTTTTTTTTTCAAAAACCCTTTTTTCCAATTAAGATCACCATCCACATATCCATTTCAGAGGCAGACTTAGATAATATTTACAGGTCTATAGGTAGAGCCTCATGATCTTGGTGTTCATATGAGTAACAAACACAATTAAAACAAAACAAGCCAATGTCCAAATGCATTGAGGACAACTAAGGACATAAATTACATCTAAAAATGCAAGAAACCCTATGCAATAAAATAACAGAGGAGTATTAAATGAAAAAGGACAATGTACCTAATAAGCTCTCGGTTATGTAGAATAAGCAAGGAGAAGGGGATGCTTCCGCCGTCGAACCTTTAATGAACCTCAAAAGAATTTAACTTTAATGTTAGTAAAATTGAACAAGTACTATGGACATTAACATAAACACAAATCTGTAACCAATGTCCACATTTACATATGTCACAGCCATAACATAATGGATACAAAGAGAATTCAATTTCTGATGACAACATGAAAAAACTAAAAATTAGGAAAACAAAAAAGATAAAGACACAATTTTTACCTATAACAGTCAGCTATTTTGCCATTATGCAGGATTAAAGACACAATCTTTATCTCAACCTTTTCAAGACAGTGCAATAACAAACAAGGCCCACCAGTATATCATGGCCATTACTAAAATGGATACACAGTCAATTTCTGAAGAAATTTACATTAAAATACTGAAATTTAGGAAAACAAATACCCAAATGCATTTCTTTTTACATTGAACAATTTGTTAATTTGCAGTCATGCAGGAATAAAGACAAAACCATTCTCAACCTTTTCAAGACAATCCAATAACAAACAAGGCCCGACAAGGGATAAGCAAAGACCGCGATATGTAAACAAGAAAATAAGTAAACTCATTGCATACCTTCAACAAAATTGAACTCTGATCAGTGTATGAAAGAAGACAGTCCCCAGGTTCAGAAAATAAGCTCAAAACTGCAAGAAGAAAAAGATAAGACTGAAACAAATTAGAATAGCTCGGAACAAAAAAAACAGATTACATTAAGAAACAATATTCAGTTCCTTTTCACTTGGGCAAAGAAATAAGGTAAAAGAAGGGATTTTCTTGAATATTCTTGAAGAAAAGTAATAGCAGCCCTTTATATGCTCTTTAGAAATGCAATAAAAAGTTGTAAAATAATCTCTAAATTCTCTTTTATTGATCTGTCTCTTGATTCGTATAAAGACATTAGCAATCAAAATCTTATGAGCTCCTTCATTTTTCCTTTCCTGAATTAAAAAGATGACGTGTAAATGGGAATAAAAGTTGGGAAGCAATTGTCCACAAAAGCTTGTTGGGATGAATATTGAATGAGGATATTTTATATTTACGAAAGTTTACGAGTACAAATCCAGAAATTACGTTGAATCTATAACACACAAACACACAAACACAGCCGTGGACCAATTCAATTTTAGTAATTAAATTAACCCCCACAACCATTTTCATACCATAGTTGATGTCGTGTTCTGTATAAAATTTGTTTGACTACTTCTTTCCGTGACCTGGCTATTGCTACAATTGAATATTAGTCATTGTACACACATGAAGATATCATATCTTGGGATGAATTTTCACAAATGGCACACGCAATGGATAAACAAAAACCGGAAAACCAACTTCAATTAAAAAAACATAACAATTCCAAATCGAGCAGACAATGCCGAGATCGACAAAACCGGTCTCTGAAAAAATAGGGTCTTCGAACAGAGCTACGAAATCGAAGTGGTGTTTTCAATATCTAAAAACAACCAAAGAATAATGTGAAATTCGAGCGTACCTTGGCGAGTGGAAGACGATAAGCTCGAGGTTGTACAAACAATGCAGATCCCGACAAAACACGACTGAAAAACTAGGGTTTATCAAGAGAGGGACGAAATCGAAGTGGTGTATGCAAGTACTTGAATTTTCACCAAAGAAAAAAGTGTTGTTCGATCTTACCTGGGCGAGCGGATGAAGAAGATCTCGTCGATGCTTTCTTGCAATCTCGTTTGGCTATCTTAGGGCACAGACGATTTACTTTATGGGCCAGTGTAGTAATTAGATCGATGTTAAGGGGTACAACGGTCCAAAGAAATCCAATTGTGAGGACAAAAAAGTCTGCTACAGTGTAGGATAAAATTATCAGCTCCTATTGGCGGGACTAAAATTATCGGCCACCTCAATATTTCAACGTGGGCCCCGCCACCACATAGGATTCCACATCATGGTATCCTGTCCCTATCCCTCAACGTAAACAAGGGATATTGATGGAGAAAGCATCTTATCAATCTTATCCCTCAATGTAAACGAGCCCTTAGAGGTTTTTATGCCATCAAAACTAATTATTATTTTAAAATATCACTTAATAAGAGCTCTACTAATCATTAAACAATAAATTATGTGTAAGCTATATTACCAAATTGATGGCTAAAACAATCAATTACTCCATCTGTTTCTTTTTAGATGTCGTTTTAATTTAAAACTTCTAAATTACGATTTTCATGGGATGCGTAATAATCTTATATATTAATCCTCGTAAATTTAGTGTTTGAATTATTAATGGTTGATTTTTAAAAATAATGATAAGAGATAAAGTTTGTTAAAGAGAATAAAGTTGAAAGAATGAATAAAATATTTTCAACGACAACTAATTTGTAAAAATGTTGACATACTACAATGACATGTATTAAGAAACAGAGGGAGTAGTAATTAAATAATTTAACGGGCCAAATCTTGACCTCAAATCTTGTAATAGCATGAGACCAATAGTAATTAGTAACTAGTTAGAATGTGGATAGCGCAAGTTATCCAATGTAAACGCCAGCTCAACACAACAATCTTCGCACAACCTATCAACAACCTCAATCAGATTGCCAGACCAATGGAATCACAAGAAACACAATCCCACGTGGCGCGTCCACATTCACAAACGCTAGCCTTTTTAGTTATTAGTGTGTGCGTGTATGTCTGCACTCTCCACTTTCATCAGTAATCGTCTTGTGCAGAAAAAAAGAAAAAGAAGAGTAAAAATGGCTTCAGCTATTGGGGTGTCGGGGATGGTAGGCAAACCCCTGAGCTTGAGCTCCAGGTCGAGTGGTGTGTGGATCCCCACCACCAGCTTCAAAACACTGGCACTTTTCGGCTCGAAAAAGAAGGCGGCGCCACCCAAATCTAAGCCGGTCACCCCAGCCGACGAGGAGCTCGCCAAGTGGTACGGTAAGTCCATCTCAATCGCCAATTTTAATCATAATTATCTTCTTCGGAAGTGAGGCAAGATTAATCACGGAAGAAATTATGGCCCAGAGCTCTATTGTTATGTTAGTTTAAAAAATAAAAACATATATTAGCTATGGCACCACAGACAATTTAATGTAAATTTGAAGTTCATAATACATGAGTTCTGGTTCTTCAATAAGGTATACAACAGGTAGATGTAAACGTATATTGTCTATCTCTAGGAGGTATATGATAACAACAATGATATGATTGAAAAAGGCAAACATTTCCGTAAACCTGTTTTCCAAGAATTTTTAACTTAGTTTCCTATTCAACATACATGAATAGGATGTCGGTAATGCCATATGCCATAACGGAAACCCAACTGAAATTTTTTTCGGTTATCGATCGGTTCAGATTGGTTATCCATCGGTTCGGTTTTCGAATAACAAATGCCGGCCCTTCTTTCTACAACACATATAATATTAATATCATTTGGAATCATTACATTAACTAAGGTGAATCGTCCATTCTTTGTTTGCAGGGCCTGACAGGAGAATTTTTTTGCCGGATGGACTGTTGGACAGATCAGAAATCCCCGAATACCTGACTGGAGAAGTTCCTGGAGAGTATGTTCTTTTCATTCTTTTCTATTTACTCTATTTTGTATACACACAAACACAAACATATTGTTCCATTTGTTCCTTTAAGAATCATTCAGCAAAATTCTTGTTCCAATGCAGCTATGGGTATGATCCCTTTGGCCTCAGCAAGAAACCTGACGACTTTGCCAAGTAAGTGTCCATCTATCTAGCACATTTTTCTGATCCTGCTGCAAAACTACAGTGAGAGTGAGACTTTGGAGTTTTTACATATAGATATCAAGCATATGAGCTCATCCACGCTCGATGGGCAATGCTCGGTGCTGCTGGTTTCATCATCCCTGAGGCGTTCAACAAATTCGGAGCTAATTGTGGCCCTGAAGCTGTTTGGTTCAAGGTACTTACATCTTTGTATTTACCAGTGGTTGTCACCAAATTATTGAAAAATTATTTTTCTTTCTTTATATAATCCTACTGTGAAAGCATTTGTGTTTTAACTTAGAGTTGATTTATGCTTTCTCATGATCTTGGTTGCAGACTGGTGCCCTGCTTCTTGACGGGAACACATTGAATTACTTTGGAAAGAACATCCCCATTAATCTTGTTGTTGCTGTGGTTGCTGAGGTCGTACTCGTGGGGGGTGCCGAATACTACAGAATTATAAATGGTTTGGTATGTAATTGATGTTTTTCATGTGAAAGTTTCATATCTGTGAACTTTGATTAAGTTGGTCTGCTCGAAAGCAGGACTCGTGAAAGGAAAACTGCAGATCGTGTACACATATATAATATATGGTCGAAGTTGATGCATGTCTATATTCCAGTCAATATTAATTGTTTTGGCCTTAAAATTATATAAACAAAATTTTAACTACATTGTGCTTTTTGTGAATATATATGTATTCTTTGCTGATTGAGTGGTCATGTCTGCAATGTTTGGTAGGACTTGGAGGACAAGCTTCATCCTGGAGGCCCTTTTGACCCATTGGGGCTTGCAAACGATCCTGACCAGGCAGCGTTATTGAAGGTGAAGGAGATTAAGAATGGACGACTGGCCATGTTTGCTATGCTTGGCTTCTTCCTTCAGGCGTACGTAACCGGGCAAGGTCCCGTTGAAAACCTTGCAGCACACTTGAGTGATCCTTTTGGCAACAACTTGCTTACGGTTATCTCTGGTTCTGCTGAAAGAGTTCCCACTCTGTAATTCCCACACTTTTTTCTTGGATCCCTCACAATTGTACAATCCGCTGAGACATATTTCAAGGCCATTAACCCCATATGAATTATTTTAATTGCTCACAACCATTTTACACACAGAACCTATATATGCCTTTCCTTTCGTGTTCTTGCTCAGAAAAATAGCACACATGCATAAAACATCACAATTGTTCTGTAGCATCTACAGGGTAGTGTATACTTCTAAATTTTAGTTGGTAAACAGATGAAAATATGCAATAAAAATGTGCATAATGGGTCTTCAAATCAAGATATTCATTTAGTAATTATAGGTAGAGTTCAGACGAGTACTATGATATTGTAAAATAATAGTTTGGTCGTGTCATTGCCTATACCAAACCATGTGTATTCTTGATTAGTGGCATCGCTTTTATATGTTTAAGAGCGAAAAAGAAAATAAAAATTTACAAGTGTTTAGAATGATGGATCCTTCCAAACCATCTTGTAAAGAAATTAAAATGAAGTGAAGAATATGACAGGAGCACCTAAGAAGAAAAATATATAATTTGGACACCGTATTATGGCTATTTTAGCGGATTTAGTACGTAATGTTTTTCTTGAAACTCAGAAGCTGAACTCATGCAATGCGAAATAGAAGATCAAATACAAGTTCAAAATAAATGGTGCCATACACTTTGTAAATGTAAACTGCATGAATGGCCTCAGCATGCATTTTTCTTAGAACAGTCATGAGTAATGTAAAACACTGAAACCATCACAAGATGGTACAATATTAAGTCAATGCATTCCAACATTTATTCATTATTTCAGCCATGCATGAGTACATTCTCCATTGATGTAATTTAGCTTACTTTTCCAACGGCATGAGCCTGAATCAAATCTAATTTCATGAGATGAATTTGAAAACTAAGCATCATTGCCACATCATCAATTGTCCATAAACTAAATTAAAGTTGATATAACAATAGAAAAAAGAGTAGTATTACAATTTGTGTTGAATGTCAGGAAATATATGATGTTTGAGCAGGTAGGCGTAACTACTTGGCATAAGCCCAGAAGTCAGTCTCATTCCTTAGAGATAATGGATTGTTTTGGTTGATAGAGGAGGAGTTTGTACTATTGGATTCCTGATGGTGATGTCGGGTTGTAGGTGCATTGATCTCAATAAGGCATTCGTTGAAATTCGGATGATCGTCTGATGTGGGCTGCTTATTGCATTCTAATATTGCGGGCTGTGGAGCTTGGTAATTACCTGCAGGACTTATTGCACTCTCGCAGCAATCTTCTCTTATGAACTGTTTAACCTGCATACAATTACTGCTCCCATTATCGTAATTACCTGCATTAATGGTATTACTCGGGCTTGTTGTAGTGGTCGTCGCAATACCGAAATTATGATGATGAGTGGAGCTACTTAGCATCAATGGCTTATTAACGATGAAATTCTGGGATTCAAGCTGCTGCTGTGGATATTGATGATATGGGGGCAATAAGGGTATAATGGTATTATTGTGATCAGTATAACTAATATTTTGATCATGAGAGTGCAACAAATATGGAGATGGAGTGGAGTGATTGATATTATCAATATTGTTGCTGCAGCTGTTTCTATGGGTGAAGAGGGATCGGGATTCGGTTGCAGCAGCAGCAATAGATATAGAAGAAGTGCTCATATTGAGGTCTGCATCATCACCATCATCATAAGCATGACTAGTATTAACATTGTTCATCATCACCATCATTGACATCCCACTACTACTATTGCCATTACTGTTGCCAACTTTGAACAGATTCTTCTTCTTGAATACTCGACAAACAACCCATCCGTCTTCCTGATCAGTCATCAATTAATTACATCATATGCATAATTTTGTAGATATGATAATGCCAGTTGCCAGTTAAGATGCTAGCTACTTACTGCAGTAGTGGCAGTTGGGTCATGAGTCATGTCATCATCATCATCAAGGCGGTACTCGTGCATGATCCAGTCAGTTTTTTGGCCGTGGGGAGCCCTACCACGATAGAACACCAGTGTTTTCCTCATCCCAATCTTCTTCAAGCTGTTCCTTATGCATTTGTCTCTGCCAGTTGCTTTCCAGAACCCAGCACCAGTAGCTCGGTTTGTCCTCGACCCTGTCGGGTATTTCCGGTCCTTGTGGCTGAAAAAGTACCATTCGTTCTGAGGTGTTGACCCAATCTTACACCTCTCTGTTTAATTACCAACATTAGTAGTAACATGATGCACGAATGAATATGTCAAGTCAATTGATTCAACCTAGCTAAGCTAGCTACTTGATTTGTTGGTACTACTACTACATATATATTACAAGTTCGCGTCATATACTGCATATATATATACCTTGTAGCTCCCAGGGTTCAATCTTATTCAAGTCGACTTCCCTGATGACCTCCATATCGAACTTTTGAAAGGAGACTTTCTTCTTCAAATAAAAATGTAGAAGCTCCTCGTCTGTCGGGTGAAACCGGAATCCGGGCGGAACTCCACCTCCACCTCCGCCTCCCGATGATGAGCTCGCCATCTAATTTATTAGTTTTCGTATTTGGCGGGCCGGCCGGCACACTTTATAAGTTTCCACCTTAATTTTTACCTATATATATATACACGGATCTCAAGTGCTATTTTCATTCCATGTCATAATAAATATATCAGCATCGTCAACTCATCATGTCAAAGGGAGTTATTGTTGTAAGAAAAATTGGTTTTGTATCAATTTAACGGTTCCATTTTTCGTAAATAGAAGACTTAGAAAATTCTCAAAACCATTTAAGGTGAATGAGAAACTAATTCTAAGTTGTATATGTGGGAAATATAAAGTTGAAGCAATTGAGGTTAAGTAACTCGAATATTATTGGATTTGCAAAACAATCTGTTTTGACAAATGTTTGGACAAACTAAACGAGCCATAATTATGCATTATGTATGCTAGAATTGTAGAAGGGCTCGTTGGGGATAGGAAAAAACAAAACTCGATTTCGAGTCCGTATGAGCTCGTACGAGTCCGCGGCGCACGGGCGAGCAACTGGCTGTGGAAATCAAAGAGTCGCAACTCTTGGTGGCCATAAGGTATCTTTTGGCCACTAGATGCATCCATTCTTGTTCAGACACGTTCCAAAATGTGTCTTTTGACACTTAAACATCTTAGAGGTATTATCCTACATCTATAGATACCCACAAGCATGAAATCATTTAAGATCATCAAATTACCAAGAGTCTGCATCCTTTTTACAAAGTTCATATTCATCTTGTGTTCTTTGTGTTCTTTCTTATCTTGAGAGTTCTGAAACTTAAGTATTGTTCGCCGAAGGTTTGTGTATTTGAGTTACCGCTATACACAAATTGAATTCGTTGTATCTTAGAGGCGTTAGCCGTGAACCGTGGATAATATACGTGGCTATTTCGTCTTAAGGAGAGCGTACCTTACGTGCCTCGACTTTATTCGTTTTTGTCATTTTACCTTCTGATTTCTTAAGCCATTTTCTTGGCATTCACAAACCAAATAATCTACAATTGTTTGTATAGTGAGAGACTAGAGAGAGTTGACCGCCGGTGACGCCGCCGCCGGGACTGCTTAAAGCTAACGTAAAAGCGATGATGAAATAGAAAGGGTTAGCATATTGATTATTTAGTGATTTATTTATCAAATTTAGAAACAATCCCGAGGAAATAACAAATTGTGCTGTTGCTGTACTTAGTGCTGGGGTATATTTGATTGTTCGTAAAGCAAGGCCAAAAAAATAATAACCAAACGCGTAATTAATATGTATATATTTATTAGTGCTGTATAATAGGCTTCTCCTAGGGATGGTCACGTATAGAAAAAGGATCGGACGGCCGAAGGGCGTTGAAAATGAATTCTCATTAGCATCAACCAATTTAATCACATGGTGGGGGGGACGCATTAACCATAGGGATTTGCACATGTATGTAGTAGGAATGTATATATGTACAATCATTTGATTAAGTTCTACGCTTCCTTCTTCATGATCTCCTTAATTCCTTTTATTTTCCCTTCATTTTTCCCATATACTTCATATAATTATGAGTTTTAATTGTCCTCATGAGTACAGATATAGGGGGACATTTACTAGCTAGGTAGCTAGATGGAGCTGACAGACAACTCCTAATAATACGTGCACACAAAACTTGCATAGAAAGTAGTCCGCAAGAAAAGCGCTTATATATTATTGTAGACACATATAGACGTGATTAATTATAGTATGAAATACATGAAAAAACGGAGAGTATGTTGGAAGTGATGAGGATCGGAGGTTCACATGAAATGTGCAAGGAGAGTGAAGATTCATGCATCACGAAAATGGAAAAAGGACATGGTGGACGTTAGAAAAGGCAGTCTAAAATTAGGAAAAAGGAGCATATTTCATGGAAAAGTAAAATTGGTTATGTCATGAATACAACAAAGTAATTGAGCCGTGTTGCACACAATGGATAGACCATTACCTTTCTCTCTATACGGTTATGTCAATACATTAATTCCCTAGATACATCGATAAGGTTGAAGCTGATGAATTGTTATATAATAAATAAAAATTAAGAGGGTAGTAGTGTAGCAGAAAGAATTAGAATGAATAGTTGGGTGATGATGATGTGGATGATGATGGCATTGGCATTGGCATTGGCATTGGCAGCAGTAGAGTGCTTATTGTCCAATGGTGGTAACAATAATAATGATGTTAACGTTAATCATGTGCAGAATCAGAATGCTGCCCAGGCCACAGCTCTGTTTGTGTTTGGAGACTCTTTGGTGGACAATGGGAACAACAATTTCCTCAACTCCATTGCCAAGTCCAACTACTATCCCTATGGTGTCGACTCCAGCACCGGCCCTACCGGAAAATTCTCCAATGGAAATAATTTCGTCGATTACCTTGGTACGTATAATATTCTCATGCATATGTAATATTATTCTTTGGTCGATATTAATTAATTATTTATTTGATGATCATCAGGAGCGTGGTTGGGTATTGCTGCGCCACCTCCTTTTGCAGACCCCAGCACAAGGGGAAGCAGAATCCTCGGAGGAGTTAACTATGCTTCTGCAGCTGCCGGCATCCTTGATGAAACTGGCCAACACTATGTATACTATACATATTCATCCATGCATTACATTAATTATTATTAATGAAATTCAACAACATAAATTCATCATCTATCTGTATATGTACATACATATGTATATAGGGAGAACGCTACTCTCTCAGTCAGCAGGTGGTCAATTTCGAGACTACGCTGAGTCAGCTGAGGACGATGATGCAAGCAGGGGACCTAAACCGATACCTGTCCCATTCCATAGCGGTGCTCGTGTTTGGGAGCAACGACTACATCAACAACTATCTGCTCCCGACCATGTACCCGACCAGCTTCAACTACAACCCCACCCAGTTTGCCACACTCCTCCTCAACCACTACGCCCGCCAGCTGGTCGCTCTCTACAGCGTGGGCCTCCGCAAGTTCTTCCTTGCCGGTTTGGGCCCACTGGGTTGCATCCCCAACCAGCGGGCCACGGGTCTGGGCCCTCCGGGGAGGTGTGTGGACAATGTTAACCAGATGCTAGGCCCTTTCAACCAGGGCCTCCTCTCCCTAGTCGATGTGATGAACAACGGGACCCACCCGGGCTCCATGTTCGTCTATGGAAATTCCTACAGCGCCCTAGGGGACATACTCAATAATCCGGAGAGGTACGGGTTTAGAGTGATCGACCGTGGTTGCTGTGGGATCGGGGGGCAGATCACGTTCACGTGCATGCCTTGGTCCCCACCTTGCCCCAACAGGAACGAGTACGTTTTCTGGGATGCCTTTCATCCCACGCAGGCTGTCGACGCAATACTCGCTCATAGGGCCTATGCGGGGCCTCCCTCCGACTCCCATCCTCTCAATGTTCAGCAGCTGGCTCTTATTAATTTCTGATCCTACTTAAAACTCTACTTTCTTTCTTCTTTCTATCTCTGTTCTCCAAGGTTGCTACAAGTTCAATGTAGCTCTAGTACTATTGTATCATCCATCCAGTCATAATAAAACTTGTACTCCTTGTCCTTGTAATGAGAGAGAGAGAGAGAGAGAGAGCTATTACTCCATCTTGTGTTGCTATTTCTAATTTCTACAACAAAATCATTTTTAGTAATTTCTACAACAAAATCATTTTTAGCTTATATCTAGATGAACAATAAACTAACAATTTTAAAAAACACTGGCAATTCAAGCAATCTACTACAATTATTATTATTGTTGTTTCAAAAAAAAAAAAGGAAAATTGCTTTACTTTTATGGACTAGGCCTGGTGGGTCAAGATGAGATCCAATAATCATTTGTAAACACAAAAAATGATGTCTTTATACTTGGGTCTTGAAGCTCAAATAAGATGGAGTTGTTAAAAAATATAAAAAATGGCTTCGACATTGGGCATGGATGAGATTAGCAAAAAGGCCCAATTTTCACCTAGGTCATGATGCATCAATAGTTGAACACACTGAGATCCCATTCCACACTATAAGTATAAGCAACAAAAAGGAAGCTACAAATGTTTGGGGGCAAACGGAATTGAAACGCACCTTCTTCCGTAGAAAAAGCTGAGATATATCGAAAATGGCAGCTAGAAGTTGGTTGCGCGTTCAATTGGCACGCCGCCGTTCCTCCGCCAAGCTCTTTCTCTCCACCGCCACCAACGGTGCTAAATTGCAGCAAGAAATTGGAATCGAAGACGACGTTCCCACCGCCGGAATAAGCAGACCTCTCTCTCACATTCTCAAGGACTTGAACAAAAAAATTCCGGAATCCCTCCTCAAGCTTCGCCATGAGCCAGCTGGCGCCAAATATATCCCCTGGTGTTTCCTCGTTACTCTTTGCAAAACACTCTATCACGCATATCTCTCTGTGTGGGTATATTGCTGGTGGTGGTTTTTCACTTATCTTCTAGTGCTTTACTTTTTAATTAGCACTCATCTGATAGTCATTCCGTAATAGTTGATTTTCTCTTTAAAACACAATGTCTGACTGCATTGATTTCGATTTGGAATTTACTATTGTAAGAGGTAAATGTAATGATTGTGTAAACTTGTACACTCCTTGCAGGTACATATTGAATAGGATATTGAACTTGTACGCACCAGGTATGCATGTCAGACTGACAGACCAATAGGTTATGTTATCTCACTGAGTGAGTTTTTTGATGCTATGCAATTTCCTTGTTACTTGTAGAGTGGTCCGGTGAGGTCCGCAGCATCACGCATTCAGCCGAGGGGAAATTAGTGTCAGTTGTGTATCGTGTAACACTGTATGGGACTGATGCTGAGGTACTATCTTCTCTTGTGCCAATTTTATTGTTATGCTGGATTAAAATTACGTGAGGATGGAAAACTGGATTTATGAGACATGTTAATTTATTTTTGATTCGTGCATAAACTGATCATCTGCAATGTAAACATATTGCCACACGCGTCGTTGGATTTTACTTTGGGCCACTCCAAGTTTATTAGTCTTCCATGCACTAGCCTAATATATATGCAGATTGTTGGATTGCATTTTATACTTTTTGAGTGTGGTGCTTCTTCATTGTTACGTTGTCTTGGCATTTGACAAACTTTTTATTCTGAACACAAACTATCCTTCTTTTTTGTTCTGCAACTGTTTGTACCTCAATTCTTATCCTAATATCGAGGCCGCTTCTATATTTTGCTGATCATTAGAACTAAAGAGAAACAAGAAAATGTCTGGAAAATTAACTTACTGAAAGAATTGTTTTTTATATGTATGGAGTAGATATTCCGGGAATCAACAGGAACTGCTCCAATTGGTGAGACCGGTTACACGGATGCTATGGAGAAGGCGGAGTCAATGGCATTTCGTAGGGCTTGTGCACGCTTTGGGCTCGGACTTTACCTTTTTCATCACGACTTGGATTAGTGCATTATGTTTCTATTAAAGAATGGTGCTCGGTCAACAACCCTCAATGCAAAAGGCAATGGTTGAATTGAATGAAGCACTTAATTAATCAGTATGCTTTGGTGTATTTCAATGTCTAGCTCTTGGTCATGATACAAATGTTGTGATTTTCTTTGTTGTGATAGTCATGTGTATTTGTTTTCGGAGAAGGCGGAAATTTTATCTGAGTTGTTTTCATGCAGAGTGGAACCTGAGTGCCATTTACTGTGCAAGTATGAGGTGAGTTACTCAAGTTGGGCCTAATGTGGGATGGCCCTTGAGAGTTGAGATTTAAACATGAAATGGGACCAAAAAAAGTCTGTTAAAATCTCACCTCGGGAGGGAGAGAATTAGAATTGTCCGTATGGATGGAAGAGTTTGGGTCAAAAAAAGCACAAACAACTTTAGTTCGTACTACTTTTGGCTGATGCATGCATTTGTATTTGGTGCACATTGGAGTAATAGTGGTGTAAAAGCCTTAAAATGTTGCAATAGAAAAATCATTCAATTACGTTTTGAAAAAATAATGACAATTTGAATATTACTAATTGTATCTGGAAACTAGTAGCGGTTTTCTTGTTTTGGACAATGGATAGCCAAATCGACAGAACCATAAAGCTGAGTTGACTGAACTCGTTATTTATCAAAATTGAATTGACCGAACTTTTGTTCAATATTGATCCGTGATAAAGAAGAACTTGAAGGGATTGGTTCGAAGGACCCGTGCAAAGACAACGAAAAGAAGAGGAGAATGGTTTGGAGAAGATAATTGTAGAGTGGAACCATGCAGGACCAGACACAGATAAATTTTCCAAAAAAGAACTTGAAGAAGAAGGAGAAGTCGTTCTGTGACCTCATGTTGCTGTAAATATGATATAGGATGAGGATTGTTCTTTTTGTATGAACCAGTGGCAAACACAATAATTGCCAACAAGGCTAAGGCTGAGCCTCCCAACTGCGCGTGCAAAAATATAAATCCTTTTCCACTCTTCAGTGGCATTCTCCAGTTTACTTAGTTTCAAGATAATATTCCAACTACTTGTTATCTATAGCTGATTCCTAGTATATATCACTCACATGTCTACATATTCACTT